ATTTAGAGATGGAGTCTCACTTTGTTGCCCAGGCTGGAGGGCAGTGGCACGATCTCCACTCACTGCAACCTCTGCCTCCTGGGTTCAAGCAATTCTCCTGCCTCAGCCTCCTGAGTAGCTGGGATTACAGGCACCTGCCACCACATCCAACTAATTTTTGTATTTTTAGTAGAGATGGGGTTTTGCCATGTTGGCTAGGGTGGTCTTGAATTCCTGACCTCAGGTGATCTGCCTACCTTAGCCTCCCAAAGTGTTTGGATTATAGGCATGAGCCACCACACCCAGCCCAATTTATTATTATTTTTTAATGATTAGTGTTCATATCCTATTATATAATGTTTGCCTACCCCAGGCTGGGTGTGGTGGCTTATGCCTATAATCCTAGCACTTTGGGAGGCAGAGGCAGGCAGATCACTTGAGTCCAGGAGTTTGAGACCATCCTGGGCAACATGGCAAAACCCTGTCTCTATCAAAGATACAAAAAATTAGTTGGGCACTGTGGTGTGTGCCTGTGGTCCCAGCTACTCAGGAGGCAGAGGTGGGAGGATTGCTTGCGCTCGGGAGCCAGAGGTTACAATGAGCTGAGATTATGCCACTGCACTCCAGCCTGTCCAGTGACAGTGAGACCCCATCCCCACTCCCCTACCAAAAAAAAATTGCCTACCCCAAGATCATGATAATATTTTTTGTTAACTTCTGGTAATATTATTGTTTACGTTTCAAATTTGTGGCTATAATTCATCTTGAATTAATTTTTGTATATGATATAAGACAGGGGTTAGTGTTCTTTTTTTCACATATATCACCAAAAAAAAATTTTTTTAAGACGGGGTCTCGCTCTGTCGCCCAGGCTAGAGTGCAGTGGCATGATCTTGGCTCACTGCAGCCTCGACCTCCCAGGCTCAAGCAATTCTCCTGCCTCAGCTTCCCGAGTAGCTGAGATGACAGGCACACGCCACCAGGCCCACCTAATTTTTTGTATTTTTTGTACAGATGGGGTTTCACCATGTTGCCCAGGCTGGTCATGAACTCCTGAGCTCAAGCGACTGGCCCAGCTTGGCCTCTCAAAGTGCTGGGATTACATGCCTGAGCCACCATGCCTGGCCTTTATTACCCAATTTTTTTTTTTTTTTTTTTTGAGATGAAGTCTCACTCTGTCACCCAGGCTGGAGTGCAATGGCATGGTCTCAGCTCACTGCATCCTTCACCTCCAGGTTTCAAATGATTCTCCCACCTCAGCCTCCCAAGTGGTTGGGACTACAGGCGTGTGCTACCATACCCGGTTAATTTTTGTATTTTTAGTAGAGACAGGGTTTCACCATGTTGGCCAGGCTAGTCTCGAACTCCTGACCTCGTGAACCTCCTGCCTCCGCCTCCCAAAGTGCTGGGATTACAGGCGTGAGCCACTGTGCCTAGCCTATATTACCCAATTTTAACTTATAGCACACACATAGTTTACAAAGAATCCTTCTAAAAAACCATTGACTGAAGAGAACAACAATGACAGCACAAGTCAGCAAAAAGAAAACATCAGAACCCTCACTGCTCCTCCTCCTGGGGGTAAGGTCTTCCTTCACTACATAATGAAATAAAAGCTGTAACAGGTTGATTGAATCTGACAAGAAATTAGCCAAAAAAGGCAGAAGGAGCGGTCGGTATCTTTTCAAGATTTTCGAAACAAGGTTTTAGATATATTATCATTAAAACAGAATTCAAAGTATGAATCCACGATAATCAGCAAGACATGTATCCAATGAGAACAGGAAAAAAAACTTCCAGGCTGTTTTCACTGAGGGAGAAATTGATCTCACTGAAATTAATGATAAAAGTTGAGAAGCTTCTCTGTAAGTTTTATAACATACAATACATAAGTATATGTATATATAATTTATAAATAAATAAAGGTATTTTGGGTTATGTGATCATGATAGCTTTCCTGGTAGTTATGTGTTTGTAATTAAAAACAATTATATGGTGGCTCACGCTTGTAATCCCAGCACTTTGGGGGGGCCGAAGTGGGTGGATCACCTGAAGTCAGAAGTTTGAGACCAGCCTGACCCACATGGCGAAAATTTTAAAAATACAAAAATTAGCTGGGCATGATGGTGCTCACCTGTAATCCCAGCTACTCAGGAGGCTGAGGCACAAGAACTGCTTGAACCTTGGAGGCGGAGGTTGTGGTGAGCCAAGATCGTGCCACTGCGCTTCAGCCTGTGTGACAGAACGAGACTCTGTCTCAAAAAAATAAAAAATAAATAAAAACAATCATAGACCAGCAACCTAGGGGATGGCCTTTGGGCCTGGGCACAGCACTTTAAAACTTGGACAAACCAGAATGCTTCCACCTTGGTAGTGGAGGGGACAGGTGGGGACCAAGATGCTGAGGGGGGTTGATGTTATGTCATCACCATCCAAAACACACTGTAAGGCCCTGGCGCTGTCTCTGCTGGAGAAGAGAAAGAGGTTAGGAGAGGGAAAAGCATGAATCTTACGTCTATAATATTATATAAAGGGCAGAACAAGAATAAAATAGGAGGAATATCCACGAGGAAAGTTCTTCAAAGGGCACAGTAACAAAAACTAATTAATGTCACTTCCTGTGTATCCACTACGTGTCAGACACAGTGCTAGGCACACTTCGTTTATTTTTCATTCCTTGCAGCGCCTCTTGAGATATGGGTATTTTCCTACCCATATTAAAGAAGAAAATGCTAGGGCATGATCAGTTGGCTAAAAGTATATATATATATATATATATATATATATATATATATATATATGTGTGTGTGTGTGTGTGTGTGTGTGTGTACACCTGTCCACACACATATAAATAATTATCCTTGTATTAGTAACATGTGAGGCACATCATTAAAAGATGCATTTTCGGCCAGGGAGTAGCTCACACCTGCAATCCCAGCACTTTGGGAGGCTGAGGCGGGCGAATCATGAGGTCAGGAGTTTAAGACCAGCCTGGCCAACATGGTGAAACCCCATCTCTACTAAAAATACAAAAATTAGCTGGGTGTGGTGGCGGGCACCTGTAATCCCAGCTACTCGGGAGGCTGAGGCAGAAGAAGCACTTGAACTTGGGAGGTGGAGGTTTCAGTGAGCCAAGATCTCGCCAACCTAGGCAACAAGAGCGAAACTACAACAGAAAGAAAGGAAAGAAAGAAAGAGAGAGAGAGATCTGGAAAAAAGAGAGAGACAGAGACACACACAGAGAGAGAAAGATCTAGAAGGATACACCAAACTGCTCATAGTGGTTAAACTTGAAAAAGGGAGTAGGATGACTGATTTGAATGAAATTCATTTTATAGGTTAAAAAAGAGGTCAAATTGTGGCAATTTCATACGGTACAATATAAAATTATATTAAATACTCAAGATTAAATGAATTACAATGAGAATATATTCATGTATTACTTATAAACAAAATAAAACACAGTTAAAAAGCAGTCCCCGGCACTCCTGGTATCTAGAGACATTTGAAGACAGAAAAATAAGCCAAGTCCCCACTGATGCTGACTGCACTGTGCCTGAGCACATGGCCTGGACAAAACCAGGTTTCAGGCCTGGCTTTGCCCTCAACTGCCTGCTAGACTTTGGCCCAGCTGCTTCACTTCTGGGGCTTTAACTGGGACACCTCACTCATGACCGAACTAATTCTTGTAACACTACAGCTGGGAACTGTCATCCATATATTACAGATGAGGAAGGGTATGGACTAGCTACTTTTTTTTTTTTGACAGAGTCTCGCTCTGTTGCCCAGGCTGGAGTGCAGTGGCCAGTGTTGGCTCACTGCAACCTCCACTTCCCGGGTTCAAGTGATTCTTCTGCCTCAGCCTCCCAAGTAGCTGGGACTACAGGCGCGCACCACCATGTCTGGCTAGTTTTCTTATTTTTAGTAGTGACGGGGTTTCACCACATTGGCCAGGCTGGTCTCAAACTCCTAACCTCATGATCTGCCCACCTTGGCCTCCCAAAGTGCTGGGATTACAACGGGAGCCGGCCAGATTAGCTACCTTTTAAATCAGATCTAATAATCCACAAACAGGTGGGCTGAGATCCTGGGGTTCTGGGGCATCCACGTGGACTTGATGTACAAGCTGTCCCCTTGGCCCAAGGCAATCTTGTTTCTAGTGAAACTCCCAAGAAGAGCGTGTTCAGCACAAAGGAAGTGAATGGGGAGCACCTGGCTTCCAATGATCATTCTGTTGCTTACCCTCAGCGGGACCCCAGCATTTATCCCCCCTGGGCTTCGGCTTCTTTTTTTGCAATGAGGAATAATAATAGTACCTGGACCACAAGATGTTATAGTATTTAGTGTTTATGAGAAGCTGTGCACCTGATTCTCACAACGACCCCGGGAAGAGGATCAAGTAAGTGGTCTCCCAATCCACAGATATTGATACTAATCACTAATGATTGTGCAAAGGTTTTCCGTTTCCAACAGGCCATAAAATAGATTATATTTCTTTAATTCTAAGAAAATAAGGGAGGAATCTTTGGCTTTCATCGGATTCTCAAAGGTATACGTGTCCCCCAAAGAGTTCAGAGACAGCCATGTTACGCAGGTGCAGGGCCCCCCAGGGCTGTCGGACTCAAGTAACAGCTGACAACAAACGTTCACACGCACGATCTCATGCACCTTCATGGCGACCTGCGGGGAGGAATTACCGCCCCAATTCACAACCGCGGAGACACACAGAGGAGGGCGGCCACCGTCCGGGGTCGCCCTCCCGCCGCCTCTCTCCAGGCCAGGCCCGGGCGTCCCCGGGCCCCCCAGGTGAACCTAGGCAGCGCTGCCCGGCAACGCCGGACTCGGAGACGTACCTGACGCGTCCCAGAAGCCTGGGTCCAAGAGCTCCCCGAAACCCCCCGCAAGGACCCTGTAGCCCAGCGCCACCTTGACCCACCGGCTTCCTGCCGCTCGCCCTCTACGCGCATGCGCAGCCCCGCCCGGCCTCTACCACTGAGGAAAGGGGGTCCCCAGCGCCAGCCTGCGCAAGTCCCCAGAAACTCCGCGAATCCCCTCGGGATAGTAAACGGCTTATACAAAGGCAACGTCTTCCGGGGTCCTTTACATGACCCCCGTTACAGACTGGGACCAGGACCTGCACTCACCCTCTCCACAGACACATTGGTCTGGGTCCCCGGCTGGGCTATCACTATGGAAACGGCGTCTCGCGGATACAGCGGCGGCTTGCGAAGATTCCATTGTTAAGAGAAACCGGAAAGTGGTGACCGCATCGGCGTTGCCTGGAGAACGCCTGGACTCACAGTAGCAAAATGGGCCTCTCCCTGGCTCCCCTCCTCCTCCCCGAGCACAAGGCAAGGGGCACCCCTTGCTGTGAGTGTCGGGGGCCCACTCAGAACTTTGCGGAGTCTCCTGAGGAACCCGTGGCGGGACCGGCCCAGGGTTCGTCAAATTCTGCCGATGCTTTCAGGTAAGACGGACGGACAGACGCACCATGACCCACCTGTGGCAGCCTGCCCCCTCCGCACGCCCTCACGGTGGCTTCTACAAGCAAGGGAAACTGAGGCTCAGAGACTATCTAAAGGTCGCACTGTGAGCAAGGGCAGAGAACTACCGGAGAATCGACTCCAGATGTCCTAGAGTCCTAACAGTGTGTATTTTTGTTCCGTCTGATAAATGAAGAAACTCAGGCCGTTCAAAGAATGTTTACCGGCTGCCTGGTTGGTGTACCAGGTGACACCATCCATTGAGGGGCAGGACCCAGGGGTCTTTGGTTCCAAGCGCAATTCTCTTCCAACTACAACACCTTGCATTAAAAGAGGGGAGACTTCTATATCCTAGAACCAAAATCTTCACAATCTGGCTCAGCATTGTACAATAGAAACATAAAGCAGGCCACACATGTAATTTGGAATTTTCTAGTAGCCACATTTTTTAAAAAGTAAAAAACAGAAAGTCCAAGTGAAATTAATTCGAGTGTTTTATTTCACCCCTTATGTCCAAAATATTACTATTTTAAGATATGATCAGTATTTCTAAATTTACACTACTTCCATTTCAAATTTTAATTTTTTTTTTTTTTTTAGGATGGAGTCTCACTCTTGCCCAGGCTGGGTTGCAGTTGTGTGATCTCAGCCCACTGCAACCTCCCCTCCCAGGTTCAAGTGATTTTCCTGCCTTAACCTCCTGAGTAGCTGGGATTACCGGCACCCCCCATCACATCTGGCTAATTTTTTGTATTTTTAGTAGAGGCGGGGTTTCACCGAGTTGGCCAGGCTCTTCTCAAACTTCTGACCTCAGGTGATCCACCCGCCTCAGCCTCCCAAAGTGCTGGGATTCCAGGTATAAACCACCACACCTGGCCAAATGTAATGCTTTTTTTTTTTGAGACAGAGTTGCTCCATCACCCAGGCCGGATTACAGTGGTGCAATCTCGGCTTATTGCAACCTCCGCCTCCCGGGATCAAGCAATTCTCCTGCCTCAGCTTCCTGAATAGCTGGAATTACAGGCGTGTGCCACCATGCCTGGCTAATTTTTGTATTTTTGGTAGAGACAGGGTTTCACCATGTTGGTCAGGCTGGTTTCGAACTCCTGACCTCGTGAACCATCTGCCTCCTTCTCCCAAAGTGCTGGGATTAGAGGCATGAGCCACCCCGTCCAGCCTGTAATGCTCTTGAATCATCCTGAAACCAGTCTGTGTAAAAATTGTCTTCCATGAAACCGATCCCTGATGCCAAAAAGTTTGGGTACTGTGGATACAATGACTATTTATTGAATACCTACCATAAGCCAGTAGCATGCTCCTACTTGGGACAGAAAGGTGAACTAAACCAGACTAGATCCCTGCCCTAAAGGGGCTTATATCTATTGGAGGAGATAGGATAATCAGTCAGTTATGTAAATAATGAGTTATAACTGTCATCACGGCTTCAAAGGGGCAGTACTGTGAGATGACGTAAGAGTGTGTTTTTACCATACAAGGAGGTCAAGGTGCTGAAGGAAGAGCAAAAGTTAATTAGATAAAAGGGAGCGGAAATAATACGCCGTCCTAAATGTACCATCCAAGCAGCAGGAAGTGAGGCTGGAAAGGTAGAAGGTGCCCAGACGTGGGCTGGCCATCCCAGGAGCACTAGCAGCATGTGACAACTAAGTCCTTGGAATTTGGTTAAAGTGACTGAATAAGTATAATTTTAAGGCTGAATGCAGTGGCTCACATCTGTACTCCCAGTACTTTGGGAGATGGTGATGATGCCACTGCACTCCAGCCTGGGTGACAGAGTGAGATCCTGTCTCAGACAAACAAAAGTAAAAAATTTTTAAAGTAAAGCGTTAAAAGAATGGCTACTCCTTAAACAGAACAGCCAAGAGTAAAATTTTAATTTTAATCAATTTAAATTTTGGCTGGGCGCAGTGGTGAAACCCCATCTCTACTAAAAAAATACAACAGTAGCCAGACATGGTGGCGCATGCCTGTAATTCCAGATGCTTGAGAGACTGAGGCAGGAGAATCACTTGAATCTGGGAGGCGGAGGTTGCACTGAGCTGAGATCGCGCTATTGCCTTCTAGCCTGGGCAGCAAGAGTGAAACTCCATCTCAAAAAAATAAAAGAGCATTACATTCATTGTGTACTTTATTTCTACTATAATTACATTCTAACATATAATAAAATAATTCTACAACCCACCATAATGTAGAATCAGTGGGGGCCCTGAACTTCTTTTTCTGCAACTAGACAGTCTATCTAGGGGTGCTGAGAGACAGTGACAGATCATCAGGCATTAGATTCTCATAAGAGGCACACAACCTAGGTCCCTTGCATGCAGTTTGTAGTGGGATTTGCACTGCTATGAGAATCTAATTCTACAGCTGATCTGACAGGAGGCAGAGCTCAGGCAGTAACGTGAGGAATTGGGAGTGGCTGTAAATACAGATGAACCTTCTCTCCTTGCCTGCTACTCACCTCCTACTGTGCAGCTTCATTCCTAACGTGCCACAGACCTACACCCATCCGTGGCCCTGAGGTTGGGGACCCCTGATTGTATGACTAAAGGTTATACTAAAAAGTCTGTCAAATGCCAAAGTCAGCAGTGTTTTATATGCTCAAATATATTAACTTTTTTGTTATTTCATTTTTCTTTTTTTCAACTCCCCTATTCTGAGAAGCATCAAATATGTTATATATGTATGTATGTATGTATGTACATATGTATGTATTGAGACAGTCTCACTCTGTCTCCCAGGCTGGAGTGCAGTGGCGTGATCTCCACTCATTGCAAACTCCACCTCCTGGGTTCAAGCAATTCTGCGTCAGCCTCCCAAGTAGCTGGGATTACAGGCACCTACCACCACGCCCAGCTAATTTTTGTAGTTTTAGTAGAGATGGAGTTTCACCATATTAGCCAGGATGGTCTCGAACTCCTGACCCCAGATGATCCACCTGCCTTTGCCTCTCAAAGTGCTGGGATTATAAGCCTTAGCCACCATGGCCAGCCCAAATAAGGTAACTTTAAACAGGGCGTTTAAATCTAGACTGCCAGAATGTGTGCTCCATGAGAGCAGGTGTCTTATTCTTCCACTCATCCGCCCCCAGCACATAGCATAGTGCTTGCCACAGGGTAGATATTTAATGAAGCTAGTTTTCTTCCCTCTCCTTTTGTCTTCCCCAAATAATGGCAGTAAAAACTTACCATGTTTCAGAGAATACCTAAAATGGTATGATGAAATATTCAGAAGGGGCCAGGAACGGTGACTCATTCCTGTAATCCCAACACTTTGAGAGGCCAAGGTGGGTGGATCACCTGAGGTCAGGAGTTCGAGACCAGCCTGGCCAACATGGTGAAACCCCATCTCTACTAAAAATACAAAAGTTAGCCAGATGTGGTGGTGGGCACCTGTAGTCCCAGCTATACTGGAAGCTGAGGCAGGAGAATCACTTGAGCCCGGGAGATCAAGGCTGCAGTGAGGGAGCTGGGATTGCACCACTGCATTCCAGTCTGGGCTACGGAGCAAGATCCTATCTCAAAAAAAAAAAAAAAAAAAAAAATCTTGTAAGTCTAAAAGAAATCATAGTTAATCCATAATTTGCCTAATGGAAGAAGCTGTAGAAGCAAATCATTCCCGTTCACTGTTGTAAGTCTTGTAATAGATGAATGCAAGATGAATGCAGAACCCTCGTCTTTGCAGAGGAGGCATAGTGCTAATAGCTTGGAATAATTTGAGGTTTCCACAGATGTATCACCTGAGTGTTGTCCAACAGAGGGAACCGTATGTGCAAAGGCATACAGGTAGAAAGAGCATGTGATCAGGGACCAGGAAGAAGTTCTGCAGGTCAGGCGTGTAGGATGCGTGACTGTGGAGAAGAGGGTGGAGCGAAGACCTGAACTGGAGGAGAAGGAAGGAGAGTATGATGAAAGGGCAGTGGAGTTCATATTCCCACCAAACTCGACGTTTTCTCTGTCCATTATGTATGAGCTTCTAGAGGGCAGGATCTAAGTCTTTATTCATTTTAGTTCTTTTTTATTTTTCTTTGAGGCGGAATTTCCCTCTTGTTGCCCATGCTGGAGTGCAATGGCATGATCTTGGCTCACCGCAACCCCCTCCTCCTGGGTTCAAGTGATTCTCCTGCCTCAGCCTCCCAAATAGCTGAGATTACAGGCATGCGCCACCACACCCAGCTAATTTTGTATTTTTAGTAGAGACAAGGTTTCTCCAAGTTGGTCAGGCTGGTCTCAAACTCCCGACCTTAGGTGATCACCCACCTTGGTCTCCCAAAGTGCTGGGATTACAGGCATGAGCCACCGTGCCTGGCAAGGATCTAAGTCTTTTGCTCTATTATAACAAGGCCTGTCACACTGGACTCTGAACCCAGAGGGCCCGCAAATGGTAGTAATGTGCTCCTGGCCAAGAAGCAAGGACCCAAGAGAGCTGGCAGGCCAGGATGTTCTAGAGCCAGGGAGGAAGAGTAGGGTTGGGGCTAGTTTTCTGAGAGGGAGCAAAAAGCCTCAGGTTGATCAGGAGCCTTGTGCTAAGGAGATGGACCCCATATTCTAGAATCACAGTATCAGAGAGCTGGAGAGAGTCTTAGGGTCACCTAATCTAATTCTCTTTTAGAGCCGGGGCTCAGAGAAGCAAACATCTGATTTCATCTCTAGTTTGGGAACTGACTTGCTGAGTGGTCTCGAGTAGTCTGGAGCCCTGGCCTTTTTCACACTCTGGTCTCTTTATTTTTAAAACTAGAACAAGGCCAGGCGCCGTGGCTCACGCCTGTAATCCCAGCACTTTGGGAGGCCGAGGCGGGCGGATCATGAGGTCAGAAGATCGAGACCATCCTGGCCAATATGGTGAAACCCCGTTTCTACTTAAATACAAAAATTAGCTGGGCATGGTGGTACGCACCTGTAGTCCCAGCTACTTGGGAGGCTGAGGCAGGAGAATTGCTTAAACCCAGGAGGCAGAGATTGCAGTGAGCCGAGATTGCGCCACTGCACTCCAGCCTGGCGCCTGGTGACAGAGTGGGACTCTGTCTCAAAAACAAAAAAACAAATAAAACTAGAACAATTGGCCAAGAAGTGGATCACACCTGTAATCTCAGCACTTTGGGAGGCCGAGGCAGGCGGATCCCGAGGTCAGGAGATCGAGACCATCCTGGCCAACATGGTGAAACCCCGTCTCTACTAAAATACAAAACATTAGTCCTGCACGGTTGCACACATCTATAGTCCTAGCTACTCAGAAGGCCGAGGCAGGGCAATCTCTTGAACCCGGGAGGCGGAGGTTGCAGTGAGCCGAGATCGCACTACTGCACTCCAGTCTGGCGACAGAGCAAGACTCCATCTCAAAAAAAAAAAAAAAACTAGAACAATTTTTATCATGGGGTTGGAGGAGAGGGAGAGTCAGGCATCAGACATTGGAAGAACAAGTCCATATACCTTGAAATCCTCATTTAAGCATGGGCGTCTCAGAAAGAACCCTTTAATTCCCCGTGTAGGCATGGGACATGTGCTTTGCCATCAGCCCTGCGTAGCTGGCGAACGTGGTTGGGCTTTTCCTCTTGCGTTTTCTGAGCTGGGTCTATGCTGTTTCTGATTTCCAGGAGGCTGATTTAAAAAAGGACAAGATTGGAATGGGAAATGAGAGGCTCTTAAAAGTGGACACTTTTTTGTTTGTCCATTTACAAGAAATTGGACAATGAATCATTTCAGGAAGATGGAGGTCATCAACCTCACCGCCCTCCCTATGATACCAGTGGATGAGCACCTGGCTGTCTCCCTTGTCTCACGGAATGCAATGGTGAAGACTGTGAGAAAGGAGTTAGAGGACAATCCACCCTGTATCCTTCTGGTGGTGTCACCTACAATCAGACCAAATACACCTAACTTCAGTCATGCCCCCAAGATCTAATCAGTGCTCAGGTCTATAATGCATATTACTTATTAGCTGGTCCCTTATACGTTCATTATATTCTTTTTGTGTGTGTCTATGTGAGATGGAGTTTCATGCTATTACCCAGGCTGGAGTGCAGTGGCACAATCTCAGTTCACTGAGACGTCTGCCTCCCAGGTTCAAGCAATTTTCCTGCCTCAGCCTCCCAAGTAGCTGGGATTACAAGCGCCTGCCACCACACCCGGCTAAATTTTTTTGTATTTTTAGTAGAGATGGGGTTTCACCATGTTGGCTAGGCTGGTTTTGAATTCCTGACCTCAAGTGATCCACCTGGCTCAGCCAAAGTGTTGGGATTACAGGCATGAGCCACTGCACCCAGCCACAGTTTTTTTTTTTTTTTTTTTTTTTTTTTTTTTTTTTGAGACAGCGTCTCACTCTGTCACCCAGGCTGGAGTGCAGTGGTGCGATCTTGGCTCATTGCAACCTCTGCTTCCCAGATTCAGGTGATTCTTCTGCCTCAGCTTCCTGAGTAGCCTGGGATTATAGACAACCGCCATCATTCCTGGCTAATTTTTTGTATTTTTAGTAGAGACGGGGTTTCACTGTGTTGGCCAGGCTGGTCTTGAACTCCTGACTTCAGGTGATCCACCCACCTCGGCCTCTCAAAGTGCTAGGATTATAGGCGTGAGCCACCATGCCCAGCACATTCATTTTTTGAATTTGAGACTGTGAAGGATTGTTTGACTCCAGTATTTTTCCTAATGTAATCAGAAGGAGCCCCAAAGGAAGAAGTTCTGGAAGTATTTGTTGAAAGAATGGGGAAGAAGAGTTTAAAAGCTCATTTTAAAAAATGGTTGTTTTCTTTAGGAATTATAGATGTTATTATAGCAACTAAGAAGTTGTGGTACAGCCCTCCACCCTCAGACAGATAAGCATAAAACCCAGCTTTTTCTTTTTTCTTTCCTTTTTTTTTTTGAGACAGAGTCTCACTCTGTTGCCCAGGCTGGAGTGCAATGGTGAGGTCTCAGCTCACTGCACCCTCTGCCTCCCAGGTTCAAGCAATTCTTCTGCCTCAGCCTCCAAAGTATCTGGGATTACAGGTGTGAGCCACCATGCCCAGCTAATTTTTGTATTTTTAGTAGAGATGGGGTTTCACTGTGTTGGCCAGGCTAGACTCGAATTCCTGACCTCAAGTGATCCACCCACCTTGGCCTCCCATCAACTTTTTTTTTTTTGCCACCAACTTTTTTTTTTTTTTTTTTGAGGCGGAGTTTCACTCATGTTACCCAGGCTGGAGTGCAATGGCGCGATCTTGGCTCACCGCAACCTCCGCCTCCTGGGTTCAGGCAATTCTCCTGCCTCAACCTCCTGAGTAGCTGAGATTACAGGCATGCGCCACCATGCCCAGCTAATTTTTTGTATTTTTAGTAGAGATGGGGTTTCACCATGTTGACCAGGATGGTCTCGATCTCTTGACCTCGTGATCCACCCACCTCGGCCTCCCAAAGTGCTGGGATTACAGGCTTGAGCCACCGCGCCCGGCTCTTTTTTTTTTTTTTTTTTGAGATGGAGTTTCACTCTCATTGCCCAGGCTGGAGTGCAATGGTGTGATCTCGGCTCACCACAACCTCCGCCTCCCAGGTTCAAGTGATTCTCCTGCCTCAGCCTCTTGAGTAGCTAGGATTACAGGCATGCACCACCATGCCTGGCTAATTTTGTATTTTTAGTAGAGACGGGGTTGTTTCTCCATGTTGGCCAGGCTGGTCTCAAACTCCCAACCTCAGGTGATCCACCCACCTCGGTCTCCCAGAGTGCTGGTATTAAAGGCATGAACCACCATGCCCAGACTTTTTTTTTTTTTTTTTTTTTTTTTTTTTAATGGATCAGGTTGACCTTGCCTCTTCTTACCTGCCAGCCCTTCTACCTGGCCCAAAATCTGCTTCTTCTGGCATCATCCAGGCTCTACCAGCATCTTACTTCCCTGGCCTGTCTTCATTCATCCTGATCTCACTTCTGACCCTGAGTTGTATTCCAGTGTCACAGAACTCTATCTCTGGAGGACATTACAGTTTGTCCAGCAAATAACCTTCTGGGGCTGTAAATAACCTCAGGCCTTTCCATCTCTTGTAGAGCTTATTTGACTTCAAACCTTGCTACCAACAGCTAGCTGCATGTACCACTCTCCCCCTTACTTTCCATGCTTCTCGGAAGCCCTTCTTAAGATAAGGCAAAGTGTGATCCCATCAGAATTTGCTTCAGGGTCTCATTCTGCAGGGCCGCTTTCCAATGTCCCCTCTTTCTTCTTAATCTTACTCCAAACAAGTCCATTTCACCTGCTGCGAATTTGTCATGTCCCTTCTTGGTGTCTTCATTTTTCAAGTATCCTCTGATTTGTAAGAATACTTGAGAGTAATGGAAGTAAAAGTGAACCTTGCTTTATGTGAAGGGAGTGAGGGATGATAGGATTATGGGGCTTTTACAAAGAATATATCCTAGACCACTGAGGCTAAGACAGAAAGCAATGTAAAAGCTGAGAGAGTAGGAAGTGGGGCCGTCGAGCTGAACAGATTTCAAGTGATAAACAAGGTTAAGATACCCTTTGACGCAGCCATTGTCACCTGAAAATCTCTCATAAAGAAATATTCTAAAATATGGAAACAGCTCTCCATGTGACATGTGCATCACACCTTTATTTATTTATTTTTCATTTTCTTTGTTTTTTGTTTTGTTTTTGTTTTTTTGTTACCCAGGCTGGAGTGCAGTGGTACAGTCTCAGCTCACTGCAACCTCCTCCTCCCAGGTTCAAGCGATTCTTGTGCCTCAGCCTCCTGAGTAGCTGAGACTATAGGTATGTGCCACCACGCACGGCTACTTTTTGTATTTTTAGTAGAGACAGGGTTTCACCATATTAGCCAGGCTGGTCCCAAACTCCTGACCTCAAGTGATTCGCCCACCTCAGCCTCCCAAAGTGTTGGGATTACAGGTGTGAGCCACCATGCCTGGCACACAGCATTTTATTATTATTATTTTTTAATTTTTGAGACAGAGTCTCCCACTGTTGCCTGGCTGGAGTGCAGTGGCGCAATCTCGGCTGACTGCAATTTCCGCCTCCCCAGGTTCAAGCAATTATCTTGCCTCAGCCTTCCAAGTAGCTGGGGTTACAGGCACCTGCCTTCACCCCCAGCAAATTTTTTGTATTTTTAGTAGAGATGGGGTTTCACTATGTTGGCCAGGCTGGTCTCAAACTCCTGACCTCATGATCCACCCGCCTGGTTCTCCCAAAGTGCTGGGATTACAGGTGTGAGCCATCGCGCCCTGCCAGCATTATTTATAATTGTAAAAAAGTGTAAATAACTTAAATCTTTAATCTCCAAGGAACAGTTAAGTGTATTAAGGTGTTTCCTCCAAATAGATTAGTATAATGTCACTTAAAATAATTATTATGACTATCCTTTAGCTGAAGGAAGAATGCTCCTAATAATGAATGGAAGAGAAATCAGAGTAGTAAAACAGGCATACACTGAGATTATAAAATATGGACAAAAATATGTATGTAAGAAATACTGGCAGGAAAGTTCCTAAGTCCTAACAGAGTTGTTAGGGTGGTGGCATCATGGATGGCTCTTTTTCACTAAAAAGTGACATATATAAAAATATGTTTCAAGGTGTCTATAGTATGGTCACCTCTCATTTATAATTTGCAAAGTAACTCATTTAAAAAAAGATAAAGAAATGTGGGCCGAGTGCGGTGGCTCATGCCTGTGATCCCAGCACTTTGGGAGGCTGAGGTGGGTGGATTACTTGAGACCAGGAATGTGAGATCAGCCTGGGAAACATGGCAAAACTGTGTCTCTACAGAAAATTTTAAAAATAAGCCAGGCATGGTAGTGTATGCCTGTAGTCCCAGCTACTTGGGAGGCTGAAGTGGGAGGATCCATTGAGTCCGAGAGGTCTGCTGCAGTGAGCCATGATTGCACCACTGCACTCCAGTATGGGTAACAGAGTGAGGCCCTGTCTCAAAGAAAAGGAAGAAAGAAATGTGAAAAATATGAAAGTTTGCAAAGAAAATAACTAAGGAGAGAGCTCTTGCAGACAGGGGCTGCCCTCCTCACCAGACAAGCCCCATCCTGTTGTGTGTGTAATCACCACCCTGAGATTCCTTAGCAGACTCACCTCCCAGCCTGTCTCATTGGCTCCATGCACCAGGTGAACCAAAAGATTGCTGACATAAATCTGCATACCGAGCTTCCAGCCAACAGCCTGGTGAGTTACCTGTGCTGGAGCTGAGGCAAAGCTTCTGACAGGGAAGGGCCTCGGGGATCATCAAGGTGTCCCAGTGCTCTGGGGCCTTTCTGTTTATTTGAAAACATGTTTATACAACTGAGTTCTCAAAGTTGATATTTTTAATTAATTTTATTTTTCATTTTTATTTTTATGTATTTATTTTTGAGACAGAGTCTCACTGTTGCCCAGGCTGGAGTGCAGTGGCGTTATCTCAGCTTACTGCAACCTCCGCCTTCTGAGTTCAAGTGAATTCTCCTGCTTCAGCTTCCTGAATAGCTGGGTTTACAGGCACACGCCACCATGCCCGGCTAATTTTTATATTTTTAGTAGAGATGGGGCTTCACCATGTTGCTCAGGCTAGTCTCAAACTTCTGACCTCGTGATCCACCCTCCTCGGCCTCCTGTCCTGGGATTACAGGCGTGAGCCACCATGCCCAGCCTATTTTTTATTTTTTTGAGATGGAGTCTCACTCTGTCACCAGCCTAGAGTGCAGTGGCACGATCTCAGCTTACTACAAGCTCCGCCTCCTATGTTCAAGTGATTCTCCTGACTCAGCCTCCCAAGTAGCTGGGACTATAGGTGCATACCACCACATGGACTACAGGCACATGCCACCATGCCCAACTAATTTTTGTATTTTTTAGTAGAGACGGGTTTCACCATGTTGGCCCAGATGGTCTCAATCTCTTGACCTTGTGATCCGCCCGCCTTGGCCTCCCAAAGTGCTGGGATTACAGGCATGAGCCACCGCACCCAGCCAATAAACTATTTTTCAGAGCAGTTTTAAGTTCACAGCAAAATCAAGCAGAAAATACAATTTTCTCATATACCCTCTGCCCCCACCCACATACAACCTCCCCTTCTGTCAACATTACGCACCATAGTGCCACATTTGTTAGAATTAATGGACCCACATTGTTACATCATCATCGCTCAACATTCAGAGTTTACAATAGGATTCACTCCTGGAGTTTTACATTCTATGAATTTGGATAAATACCTAATGACATATATCTACTATTGTAGTGTCATACAGAATAGTTTCATTGTCCCAAAAATCCTTGTACTTTGCCTGTTCATCTCTTTATACTCCTTAACCCCTGGCAACCACTGTTGTTTTTTACCCACTCTCCATAGTTGTACCTTTCGCATAATGTCATAGTTGGAATCATATAGTATGTAGCCTTTTCTCGTTGGCTTCTTTCACTTAGTATGCTTTTATGTTTCCTCCACATCTTTTCGTGGCTTGATAGTTTGTTTCTTTTTAGTGCCAAACATTCCATTGTCTGAATGTACCATGGTTTATCTGTCCACTACACAGGGACATCTTGGTTGCTTCCAAGTTTGGGCAATTACAAATAAAACTGCTATAAGCATCCATGTGCAGGTCTCTGTGTGGATGTAAGGTTTCACATCATATAAGTAAATACCAAGGAGCACAATTGCTAGATCATATGGTAAGAGTATGTTTTGTAAGAAACTGGCAAACTTGGCCAGGCGCAGTGACTTATGCCTGTAATCCCAGCATTTTGGGAGGCCAGGGTGGGCAGATCATGAGGTCAGGAGTTCAAGACGATTCTGGCTAGCATCCTGAAACCTTGTCTCTACTAAAGATACAAAAAATAAGCTGGACGTGGTGGCACACACCTGGAATCCCAGCTATTCAGGAGGCTGAGGCAGGAGAATTGCTTGAACCTGGGAGGCAAAGGTTGCAGTGAGCTGAGATCAAGATCGTGCTAATGTACTCCAGCCTGGGTGATGGAGTGAGACTTCGTCTCAGAAAAAAGAAACTGGCAAACTCTTTTCTAAAGCGGTGTTATCATTTTTCCTTCCCACCCGCAGTGAATGAGAGTTCATGTAGCTCCATATCATCACTAGTATTTGGTGGTGTCAGTGTTCTAGATTTTGGTCATTCTAATAGGTGTGTAGTGGTATCTCATTGTTGTTTTAATTTTCATTTCCCCAATGACATATGTCTTTGTGTATCCTTATTTACCTACCATCTGCAGATCTTCTTTGTTGAGATGTCTGTTCAATCTTTAGTGCCCACTACCCTTTTTTTTGAGTCAGTCCTGCTGTGTCACCCGGGCTGGAGTACAGTGACATGATCTCAGCTCACTGCAACCTCCACCTCCCGGATTCAAGTTATTCTCCTGCCTCAGACTCCTGAGTAGCTGGGATTACAGGCATCCGCCACCACACCTGGCTAATTTTTGTATTTTTAGTAGAGATAGGATTGCACCGTGTTGGCCAGGCTGGTCTCGACCTTCTAACCTCAGGTGTTCTACTAGCCTTGGCTGGAATGGAAATAGGGCACAGCTTGCAACCTGGGCATGAGACTCAGAGGTCTGAGATCAGCAGACCTCAGGATTCATTTGTTCATTAGTGCACATCTATTAGGCACTTCTTTTTTTTTTTTTTTTTTTTAATTAGGCACTTCTTTATATACCAAGTGCTAGGTGCCATCTACCAGGGCAGGACAGATGCTGGGGAAACCAGTCTGACTATGGTACTCAGAAGTCAAGGTCTGAACACATAAAGAACGTGGCAAACTGTCCATGAGAGGGTAGACAGGGAGCCTGGGGATGAGTTCTGGTGGCAGCAGGCAGTAGGCATCTGACAGACCTGACCAGCTGCCTGGGCAGAGGAGCGGGAAGGACAGGCAAGGTGTCCCTTCCCCCAGGGCACGTGGGGATCAAAGTTGCTCCTGACAGCCACATCCTAGCACTAGTGTGCATTTCTCTCTAGTTTCTGAACAATAACTTTGCTTAGCAATTTTTTTTTTTTTTTTTTGAGATGGCGTTTTGTTCTCGTTGCCCAGGCTGGAGTGCAGTGGTGCAATCTCAGCTCACCGCCACCTCCGCCTCCTGGGTTTAATTGATTCTCCTGCCTCAGCCTCCCAAGTAGCTGGAATTACAGGCATGCACTACCACGCCCAACTAATTTTGTATTTTTACTAGAGATGGGGTTTCTTCATGTTGGTCATCTGGTCTCGAACTCCTGACCTCAGGTGATCAGCCCACCTTGGCCTCCCAAAGTGCTGGAATTACAGGCATGAGCCACCGTTCCTGGCCTCGCTTAACTCTTCTTACCAGACTCACTCCCTCAAGAGCAAGTTGCCCACCATCACAGCCTCGCCACTGACCTAGTTCTCAGCCTGTAGGTCACTCCTCTAGAAAGTCGGTCCCTACACCCTTAACTGCACAACTAGTGTAGACACCCCTCTGTGTATTCTCTTGGCATCCTGTCCCTGTTCTCAGCATCACTGATCACCCTGTAATGACGTGCTTCTCCCCTGCCAGCCTGTGAACCCTTGGAGGGTATGTATGGTATCCACTGTTCGCTGTTGCATCTTTGACATTGGGCACAGCATTTGGCCTTTAGTAGATGATCAGGAGATATTTGTGGAATGTATGATATAGTCACAAATTCTAGCTTCTCATCTGTATTTCAGTCGTCTATTTTCAGCTACCTAGAGCAGTGATCCCTGTACCTAACTAATCATCAGACTCTCCTTGGAGATTTTTTTATTTTGAGACAGAGTCTCACTCTGTCACCCAGGCTGGAATGCAGTAGTGCAGTCTTGGCTCACTGCAACCTCCGCGGTTGGGGTTCAAGCAATTCTGGTGCCTCAGCCTCCTGAGTAACTGGGATTACAGGTGCCTGCCAGTATGCCTAGCTAATATTTGTAATTTTAGTAGAGATGGGGTTTCGCCATCTTGGCCAGGCTGGTTTCAAACTCCTAACCTCAGGTGATCCGCCCGCCTCAGCCTCCCAAAGTGCTTGGATTACAGGCATGAGCCACCGCACCCAGCCTCCTTGGAGCTTTTTAAAAACTAAAAGAGCTCTCTGATAGTAAGTGAAAACAAGGTACAGAACAGTGCATCTGGCATGCTTCCATTTGAATGGGGATGGAACATCTCTGGAAGGGTATGCAAAAAACAAGGTTGGTTGCCTATAGGGATGGGAATTGGGCAAGGTATAGGGAGGGAGACTTTTGACTGTGTTATTTGATCTTATGTAAATTGCTTATTGGTTTTTAAAATGTAAGTAGAGAATTATTCAGGAGCCACAATAAATGCATAAAAAATTCAAGACCCAATGCAGACCTAGGAAATAAATATCTCTAACATAAAGGCTTGGGAATCTGTGTATTTGAATACTTCCTAAAATGCCAGTCATTGGCCCGGTTTGGGAGTTGCCTTCCTGGAGAACAGCCCCACTTGTAGGTCCTGCAGTCATGTCAAAGGTAAACTCAGGGAAGTGGTCTTGCGGAGAGAATGAGAGGAGATCCGAGCTGCAGCTCCGCTGGAGAGACCTGAGGCTTGCGGCCTCGGGCTCGGCCGGGTCGCGGCAGCTGGGCTGGAGGTCAAGGATGCATTCCCAGCAAAGTTCCATAAAAATATATCATCAGCTCCAACCTGATATTTGACCTAGCCAAGGAAAACCTCATTGGCGCCTTACTAGATCAGACCATAAATATGATTAAGGAATGGAAATCTAAGATAAATTTCCACTACTTGAAGATGTTTTTATACAAGTCAACAGTTTAGCGGATCAGCTAGATTCTTTCATCATTAAGCAGACATACTCAAGGTACCAGCACAGTAAAGGGCACAAAATGTCTCTATATCAGTATTTTTCACAATATGTGTGAGACCCATTAGTGAGGCATGAAAGCAATTCTGTGAGTCATAATGAACATTTAAAAAAAAAATAAAATGTAAAATATCAAAGTAAAAAAAAAAAAAGGTAAACTCAGCTCAATGCGGGTCTTACTACCTTTCCCCTAAAACTTGCTCTTCTTTCAACATTCAACTATCCTTTCTCCCCTCTTTCTGTACAATCTTGTCCATCCTTTCAGGCCATACAATGTTTGCCACAATGACATTGGTAAAGATCAGAGGTATTGCTATATTGCTACAGTGACTCATACCCATCCAATTCATTCATCCAATGCCTTGAATTTCAGCTTGCTTGATTGGAGTAACAATGTTAATACACAGACTAACCCATATGACCATCCCCCCACCCCGCCCACTGGCACACACACAGATACACACACCCCTGCACACATGTCCAGTACCTTTCACTTATGCAGAGCAGGGAGTGCCGATGCAAGGGTAAGATGGGGGAGGCCTGGAGAGGCATTTCCCAGTTTATCAAGCTTAAGAGTACGATGCCACCGACACTCATGTCCACCTCTTCCGGATAGTCCTCTGTGACTGCTCTGGCCCACACTGACCTAATTTTTTTTTAGCACTTCATTGTTTCATGGATGCTGATTTGGCTCTCCAAATAGACTATAAGTTCCTTGAGGGCAAAAACACAGACTCATAGACTCATACTTCTTTGTTAACTTTGTTATCTAAGTTCATTGCTGGATTCTTTGCTGATAATCAATGCAACTTAGGTCACTAACATTCATTTTTCTTTTTTTTTTTTTTTTGTGAGATGGAATCTCACTCTGTCACCCAGGCTGGAGTGCAGTGGCACGATCTCAGCTCACCACAACCTCCACCTCCCAGGTTCAAGCGATTCTCCTGCCTTAGCCTCCCATGTAGCTGGAATTACAGGCATGCGCCACCATGCCTAGCTAACTTTTGTATTTTTAGTAGAGACAGGGTTTCACCATGTTGGTCAGGCTGATCTCAAACTCCTGACCTCGTGATCCACCTGCCTCAGCCTCCCAGAGTGTTGAAATTACAGACGTGAGGCACTGCACCCAGCTGACTTTCATTTTTCTTTCTTTTCAGGGGGGTAGGAAGAAGGGGGGTGGGGAGGAGTCAGAGATCAAGACAAGTCTCTTTTGAGAGGTCAAGGGGAAATAATAGATACCCCTTATTGAACAGCTCCTATCTGAAAGCCTCTTTGCCAGTGTTTTAAAATACCTTAAGTACTTTATTTTTGACCCTTATAAGGAACGTGGAAGATGGCTATTATCCCACTTTTACAAAGAAATTAAACAATAGCTTGTTTAATTTACAATTCCTGCTCTAAATCACTTACTCCTAGAAGGGGCAGCATGAGACAGTGGGGACACTCTGGGGAATGATGTCAGTGACATTGAGGCCACCAGGACCTACCACCTGTGGAAAGACAAGGTACTGGCCACAAACTTTGTTCCAGGTCTAAGACAAAAGGCCCAGTTCCTGAACCCACCCTTCTCCAGGACTTGCATTAATCCCTAATCCCTCCTTTTTCTTGGTTTTTGAAGGCAATTGAGAGATTTGAGTTGGAGAAGAAGGCTTTAAGAGAGAAAAGTCACAGCAGCCCAGGAGAAAAAGGCAAAAATCTTTCTCTTAGCTTTGATGCTGTTTTCATGGGGCTTGGTATTTTTAGTATCTAAAATGCAACTGAGTAGGAATCCCAAGTTTCAGATGAGGATATTTCTGTCTTCTTCTGAAGGAGCCTTAAATCTGAATTCTTGACATTGGGCAAGAAGGAGGGAGGAATAGTACCATTTAGACACCACCTACATGTGAAACCAGGTGCTTTTATCCATTCCCTTGTTAATTTTTTTTTTTTTTTTTTGAGATGGAGTCTCCCTCTGTCGCCCAGGCTGGAGTGCAGTGGTGTACTCTCAGCTCATTGCAACGTCCACCTCCCAGGTTCAAGTGATTCTTTGGCCTCAGCCTCCCGAGTAGCTGAGATTACAGGCATGTGCCACCATGCCCAGCTAATTTTTGTATTTTTAGTAGTGATGGGGTTTCACCGTGTTGGTCAGGCTGATCTCGAACTCCTGACTTCGGGTGATCCACCCACCTCGACCTTCCAAAGTGCTGGGATTACAGGCATGAGCCACCGCACCCAGCCTCCTTGCTAAATTTTTATAATACCTGGGAGGTAGGTACCATTTAATATATTTTATAGATGGGGAAACAGCCTTGGAGGGAGGGGAGTAACTTACCTAAATTCACAGCCTGTCTGCTTCTCCTTGCTGCTTCCCTGGATCAAGTGGTCTAATCAGATAAGTCAGTAACACAGTTGGGATCTACGAGAATAGTAGTAGGAGTGTCATTTGGCAGCTCAGGTGGAATGAAAAAGCGCAGTTGTAAGCATCGCACAGTTGTGGACAGACCCTGTGGTTACTAATTTATCTCTTCCTCCATTTTTTTGCAGTAAAGAGACAACGAAAATCTCAGTATTCCTGCAAGGGCTCAGAACTCAGACGTGCCAGATCTTTTGTTATAAAAAGGGTAAGGGATCTACTGCTGGGTCTGTTTCTGACTGGCTTCTACTAGGCATGAAATAAAGATTTTATTCCTGGGGAGGAGAATACTTGGTGCCTGGGTAGTGATTATGAAGAAAAATCACAGAGTTCCTAAATCCAGAATTTCTCATGACACCCTTAAAAGGGCAGAGCCCACCCCAACCCCAAAATAGGGAGTGCTGCAGAGGTCACATGTCTGTTCGTTTTTAGAACTTAGAAGGTTTCTCAGCCAAGCACAGTGGCTCATGCCTGTAATCCCAGCACTTTGGGAGTCTGAGGTGGGTGAATCATGAGGTCAGGAGTTCAAGACCAGCCTGGCCAACATGGTGAAACCCCATCTCTACTAAAAATACAAAAATTAGCTGGGTATAGTGGTATGCACCTGTAATCCCAGCTCCTCAGGAGGCTGAGGCAGGAGAATTGCTTGAACTGGGACCCTGGAGGCGGAGGTTGCAGTGAGCCGAGATCACGCCATTGTACTCCAGCCTGGGCTACAGAGCGAGACTGTGTCTCAAAAAAAAAAAAAAGGTGTCTCCCCTCAGAGATGTTCAGGTCTAGTCCAGAGCCACTGTACCATGCAGCTGCAAGGGGCTGTCCACACTGCAGGTCCTGTGCAGCTGCTCTGAGTCACACTCCATGCTAGTTGTACCACTGCAGACTTGCTGCAGATGCCTCAGGAAGCTAAGATTCAGGAATAGTAAGGTGACTTGTCATAGGGTCATGCAGCTCACGGATGCCAGGCCCGACTTCCTGCTCAGTCCTCTGACTTAGGAGGCTCTCCCTTCTGCCTCCCCTGCAGCAATCTGGCCCCACCACACAGACCCCAGTTCAGATCCTCCTTGACTTATTCTTTTTTTCTTTGAGATGGAATCTCTCTCTGTTGCCCAGGCTGAAGTGCAGTGGCGTGATCTCGGTTCACTGCAACCTCCACCCTCCAGGGTTCAAGTGATTCTCCTGCCTCAGCCTCTCAAGTAGCTGGGATTACAGACATACAGTACCACGCCCGGCTAAATTTGTATTTTTAGTAGAGACAGGGTTTCACCATGTTGGCCAGCCTGGTCTCGAACTACCAACCTCAAGTGATCTGCGCACCTCAGACTCCCAAAGTGCTGGGATTACATGAGCCACTGCGCCCGGCCCTTGGCTTGTTGTTTACACTGCATGAGTTTAGGTATCCAGACTTTTAAATGCTGGGGAATCTGAAACAGTATGTTGTTCATTTCCTTCTTACACCTGTTAGCCTTGGAAATTCCAAAACAGCACAAGGCCTAAGAAGGGTGTGAGTCTGCATTGAAACTGTCATACAGTCCATTGATGGTGGCTGAGCTAAGTGTCCTGCACAAGGTGGCATAGCCAGCATGTGGCAGACCTGACACCTGACTCCAGTCATCTGACTCAGAGTCAGTGCCATGAATCATGAGCTGTTCTTCCACTGCCCATGGCCAGAGCCCAGTTAGGAAGTCATTTGGGCCATCCAGATGTTTCAGTGGCACCTTTGGGTGGCAGTAGTTTCCTCTTTTCCATATTTTTATATTTTTTATAGTCATCATGTTATAGTTTTATCATAAAAATAATTTAATGATATATATTAAAAACCACAAAGATAGTAATATACATTGTTAGTATGTTAAGAAATGCACACTAAATAAAGTCCCCCTTCCTTAATACTGCTTAAGTCTTAAGTAGGCTTAATTATTATTATTAATTTATTATTATGCTAATAATGGATATTACTATCTGCAAGCTATTCATGATAGTAATGGTAACTGGAGGTATTCCGTGAATAGTTAATTAAATTATAGCACATCTTAAGATATATCATCTTAAGTGATAATTTTTTAAATGATAATTTTGAAGACAAAACTACATGAGAATCTAAAGTAGATAAAGCAGAACATAAAAATCATATATATATATTATACTTCTTAGAGCGGTCAAAGTCAGCCAGACAAATCACATATGAATCATATTATGATTAAAGTTACGTATTTGCGTTTGTATATTTGCTCAAAGCCTGTTAAGGGAAAACAGAAACAATGTAGATAGTACTTTGGGAGGCTGAGGTAAGTGAATCACCTGAGGTCAAGAGTTCAAGAGCAGCCTGGCCAACATGGTAAAACCCCATCTCTACTAAAAATACAAAAAAAAATCTGGCATGGCAGCGGGTACCTGTAATCCCAGCTACTCAGGGGGCTAAGGCAGGAGAATTGCTTGAACCTGAAAGGTGGAGGTTACAGTGAGCCAAGATCACACCACTGCATGCCAGCCTGGGTGACAGAGGGAGACTCCATCTCAAAAAAAAAAAAAAAAAAAAAAGCAAAGAATGTAGATAGGAGTTTGGAAGGGGTCCTAGGATCCTAAATGCTCCATTTTCACAACATTCGATAAGGTTGTTATATTGTCTTCATAATAAAGAGGGGAAGCTAGCATATTGTTTCAAACTGTCCATTCTCATATTCTGCTCTTTTGCTTCAGAAAACAGCAGATAAAAATCTGCTGGCGGAGCTGTACCAGTATTCCAACTTTAACAGCTCCAAGCCAAGCAAGCTTCCCAATGGAGTGGACTTCTGTGACATGGTGGGCAATGTGATCCGGTCTGAGAGAAACCACGTTAGTGGCAAGGTAAGGAAAGAGAGCAGTGCCTGCCCTGACTTTGCCACACCATAGGGCAGATGCAGCTGTCACCCTTTCACACCCCAGGAGAAATTGAGGAACTCACCTAGGACCACAGGCTGGCAGGTGGCTGAGCTAAGCTAGGAACCCCAGCCCAACTTCACTGCAAAACCTAGATTCCTTCTGCCAGAGCAACAGTCTTCAGACAGTTTTGATCACATATCCTACAGGTGGGAAATTTTGATCGCAAACCCTCATGGAAATGTGTCTGTTTATAAATTGTATACTTGTTCTGTTGCCAGTCACTACAATGCATGTTAGTATGCTTAATCTCTCTTTTCTTTTCTTCTCTTTTCTGTTTCCTTCCTTCCTTTCTTCTTTTTCTTTCTTACTTTTTTGAGACAGGGTCTCCCTTTGTCACCCAGGCTGGAGTGCAGTCACTGCAGCCCCAAACTCCTGGCTCGGAGGCAGAGGTTGCAGTGGAGCTGAGATTGTACCACTGCACTCTAGCCTGGCAACAGATCGAGACTTAATATCAAAAAGAAAACTCCTTGGCTCAAGTGATCTTACCACCTTAACCTCCTGAGTATCGTGCACCACCACACTGGCTAGTTTTAAAAATTTTATTTGTAGAGACAAGGTCTTGCTAGGTTGCCCAGGCTAGTCTCAAACTCCAGGTCTCAAGCCGTCTTCCCCTCCACATCCTCGGCCTCCCAAAGTGCTGGGATTACAGGCATGAGCCACTATTCCCGGCCAGTTGCTTTTCTTTCTTATCAAGACGTTATTTTGAATATTTTCTTCTCATACCCCTGGGGGTGAGTATGCCTCCTTGCAGAGCTGTTAACTAGAGCACACTGGGTTCCTTGAGAAGAAAGGAAGGAAGTATTATAAGGCTCAGAGGAACCTGTCTGCTCAGCCAACGTAAACACTGGCTGCTCCAGTGATGGGGATTCGTTGTAAGGAGGTCTTGGAGAAGAGAGGAAGCCCAGAAAATGGTCTCGGCTGCTCTACAACTGTGCCGCATGGCTCTTCATCATCAAACAACTCTGGTGTCCCCAAAGCAGGTCTGATCATTGTCCCCTGAGCTCCTAACCAGTCACCCCACCATTCCTGAGACCCAGCATCTCAGTCTCTTCCACCTGTAGTTCTCAATGCTGCTTTGAGCCACACCCCCATCTCTCTATTTCTGTCTCCCTCTCCCTCTCCCCATGCCATTTCTTCCCTCTTCTTCATGGCTTCTTCCTGCCGCCTTCTCTCTGGGCTATGTCCATCCCATCTATTTCTCACATTCTGACTTCCTAAGAGAGAGAATCTATTTGGACGAGTCACTGCCCAGAAAGACAGTGCCGTCTGCTGGCATGGCCTGCAGTCAGCCAGTGGAAGGGGCGCTGGTCTCTCGACCTGGCAGTGGCGGCCCAGGTGTCAGAGTACCTGATTCCCTTTGCTCCTGCTTTCCTCAGGGGAGAGGCAGTAGGAGAGACAAGTGCCCAGAGTATCACGTTCCCTGCAGGACAGTGTACAAAGATGCTCACCACAGTGTCCATTGCAATAGTGAGGAAGTGGAAAGCATTATGCGTTGGTTGATGTGAGTTGCTGTTGGCTGAGCGTAGGAGCGGAGAGCTGGAGGTAGTTGGTGTGGAGCAGCTGTCCAGAGTCTAGAGTTGTGGGTTCCAATCCTGGCTCAGCCACTTGCCACTTTGGTCCTCAGTTTCTTCATCTACGAGATAATAATGTGTGCCTCATAAGATTCTTAAAGGGGTTAAATAAGAGTATGTAAAATGACCTGAGTAGGGCCTCACTGACAGGTTAGATGGTTTTTCTGTTCACTCTAAAATATGTTGACTCCAGATGAATTTTTTAGAAAAGAATGACAACAATAATAATAATGCGAATTTCATTTCTTTTTAGTGTTTCTGTTCGGGTAGAGAATTAGAGAAGTTTCTCTCTTCTCCTTCCGTAAGAGCCATCTGGCTGGATAGCTTTTGGTGGATATTTCATGAGAGGTACCAGGTAAATACAGATCTGCTTGTTTCTCGGCCTTGCTTATTTTTCTACAGAACAAATTCCATCCTCTTTGACCTGGGCTACAAGCCCCTCTGATCCCATGGAGCACGCGGCCACCTCACCTGTCACCTGGTTCCCTCCCCACCTGTGCTTCAGCCAAACACCCTCTGCTTCAGCCATTGCACAGTATCCTGCAGCACCCCCAGGTGTTAGGAGTTGGTGGCATGGCTGTCACAGGTGGGGTTGAGAGCAGTCCTCAGGGCTTCTGGGCCAGCGTTATGGTGCTGTCTTCAACAGCGCTCTGCCTCTGTGTATGTGCTTGGTAAATCTCATCCCCAAAATGAACATGTTATTTCATAAAGCATATGAGGCAGCCTGGTGTAGTGGCTCACACCTGTAATTCCAGCACTTTGGAAGGCCAAGGTGAGTGGATCACCTGAAGTCAGGAGTCCAAGACCAGCCTGGCCAACATGGTGAAACCCTGTCTCTACTAAAAATACAAAAAATTAGCTGGGCATGGTGATGGGCACCTGTAATCCCAGCTACTCAGGAGGCTGAAGCACGAGAATCACTTGAACGCAAGAGTTGGAGGTTGCAGTGAGCCAAGATTATACCATTGTATTCCAGCCTGGGCAACACAGCCAGACTCCGTCTCAAAAACAAACAAAACGGCCACATGAGGCTAAATATCTTGAGAATAAGATTCCTGGAAATGAAAGCAATACTGATTTTAAAAATCCCAGCCCCTCAGTTGTTTCAGCAAGGGATTTTAGTAATTCCTTTTTTATTTCTATTCCTGGCAGCCAAACAAGGAGCTCCAGAATAATCTGTTCGACCGGATAGCCCAGCACTATGCCTTACTTTTGTTTCATGTACCCAAGTCCCACTATGAAGAGGCACTCATAAAAGTGAGCATCAGCCACTACATGAAAAAAAGTCACATTAGATTTCATTTCTGATGCCAAGAGAATGTCTTAAACATTCTTTCCATAAGGGAGTAATTAGCAAATTGTGATAATCCATAGACTGACTTGGAATGCAGAAGTTACAAAAATACCATGGAGCTATTTATACTGATTGGGAGATGCAATGATATATTTAAGTGAAAAACAAAGCAATTTATACAATTCTATGTGATATATATATATGTATATGTGCATATGAATAGAAAAAAAAACCTGGAAAAATATTTACCAAACTCTTTGCAATGCTTATCACTGGGAAATCAGGTTATAAGAACCTTTCCCTTTCCATTTATTTATTTATTTAGAGAAGAGCCTCACTCTGTTGCCCAGGCTGGAGTGCAATAGCACAATCTTGACTCACTGCAACCTCTACCTTCTGGGTTCAAGTGATTCTCCTGCCTCAGCCTTCTGAGTAGCTAGGATTACAGGCATATACCACCACACCCAGCTAATTTTGTTTTTAGTAGAGACAGGGTTTCCCCATGTTGGCCAGGTTGGTCTGAAACTCCTGACTTCAAGTGATCTGCCTGCCTCGGCCTCCCAAAGTGCCGGGAATACAGGTGTGAGCCACTGCACCTGGCCTCTCTTTCCATTTTATGTTTTTCTGTAGTATTTAAATAAGCATGTAATTTAAAAATTAAAAATGTGACCACACATATATACTTTTTATATGGGTATATATGTATGTATATATGTACTAAAAGGATTGCTAGGAGAAAATATAAGTGAATACTTACATGATTTGGGGCTGAGGAAGGACTTTGTTTTTTTTCTTTTTTTTCTCTAGAGACAGAGTCTGGCTTTGTTGCCAGGGTGTTACAATCATAACTCACTGTAGCCTCAAATTCCTGTGTTTGAACAATCCCCCTCCTCAGCCTCCTGAGTAGCTTTGACTACAGGCATGTGTCACCTCTCCTAGCTAATTTCTCTCTTTCTTTTTTTTTTTTTTTAAAGACAGAGTTTCTGTCACCCAAGCTGGAGTTCAATGGCATGGTCTCAGTTCACTGCAACCTCCGCCTTCCAGGTTCAAGTGATTCTCCTGCCTCAGCCTCCCAAGTAGCTGGGATTACAGACATGTACTACCACACCCAGCTAATTTTTTTTTTTTTTTTGTATTTTTAGTAGAGACAGGGTTTACCATGTAGACTGGGCTGGTCTTGAATTCTTGACCTCAGGAGTTTTATATATATATATATCATATATATATACACACATATATATATAAAATATATATGATATATATTCTATATATCATATTTACATTATATATATATTATATATATATTACATATGTATATGCACATTTTAAAATTTTTATTATTTTTATTTTTTATTTTTGTAGAAACAGAGTCTTGCTATATTGCCCAGGCTGGTCTCTAACTCCTGGCCTCAAGCACCCCTTCCACCTAGGCTTCCCAAAGTGCTGGACTTACAGGCGTTAACCACTAAGCCCAGCCAGGACTTTGTAAATATGACCTGGAGGAATTGGCCATGAAGGAAAGGACTGATAGATTTAACTATATAATTTTTTAAAACATTACTACAAAGTTAAACACAAATGACAAACTATGCAAAAATGCAGGTAGCCTATACGTCACACAACATAAAGAACTCTTACAAATCAATAAGAAAATATTGAACACTCCATAGACCAATGGACAAAGTGTATAAACTACAAATTTACCAAGGAAGAAGTATGAGTGGGGAAAAAGTTTGCCCTTAACAGTAACAAAAAATGCACATTGAAACAATAATAATTTGATACCCCTTAACTACAAATTCACCAAGGAAGAAGTATGAGTGGGGAAAAAGTTTGCCCTTAACAGTAACGAAAAATGCAAATTGAAACAATAATAATTTGATACCCCTTTTCCTTTTTTTAAGACAGAGTTTCACTCTTGTTGCCCAGGCTATAGTGAGGCTGCTCTTGGCTCACTACAACCTCTGCCTCCGGGGTTCAAGCAATTCTCCTGCCTCAGCCTCCCAAGTAGCTGGGATCACAGGTGCCAGCCACCACACCTGGCTAATTTTTTATATTTTTAGTAGAGACAGGGTTTCATCGTGTTGGGCAGACTGGTCTCAAACTCCCAATCTCAAGTGATCCACCCGCCTCGGCCTCCCAAAGTGCTGGGATTACAGGCATGAGCCACTGCGCTCGGCCCCCATTTTATTTCTTAGATTATGTAGGTTAAAGAGTATAGCCGAGTGCAGTGGTACACATCTATAGTTCCAGCTACTCAGAAGGCTGAGACAAGAGGATTAGAGGATCATTTCAGCCAGGAGTTCAAATCTAGCTTGGGTGACACAGTGACAACCTTGTCTCAAAAAAATAAAAAAGTCCTTCCTCATCCCCAAATCATGTAAGCCAGGGTGGAGATGTTGAGAACGTGGCCTGAGTGCTGCTTGCTCCGCAGAGGCTGCCTTCACTTCTGAGCAAAGCCGTGTACACCAGCTTCTGTTGCTGTTTCCCACAGTCCTGGTTCAACACGCACGAATTCAAGTCTGACATCTGTAACACAATGAGCCTGTGGATTTCAGGTGAGAGGTGACTTTTTTCCACTGGGGAAAGCAGTTCTGGGAAAACGTTTTCCACTGGTACCTAGGTATGTTATTGTTTGCTATGACGCCCCTTCATCAAGACATTCTTCTTCTTCTTTCCTTAATGTTAAAGAGAACAAAGTATGTGGTTGGAGCCCCAAGGAATACAAAGTTTCCTGCTTTGGCAAAACAGTTCTGAGACATCCCTTCCTAATCCCCTTCCCCTCCTTTTTTTTGAGATGGAGTCTCGCTCTGTTGCCCAGGCTGGAGTGCAATGGTATGATCTTGGCTCACTGCAACCTCTGTCTCTGGGGAAGTGATTCTCCTGCCTCAGTCAGCCTCCTGAGTAGCTGGGATTACAGGCATGTGCCACCCACACCCAGATAATTTTTGTAATTTTACTAGAGATGGGGTTTCAACCATGTTGGTCAGGCTGGTCTCAGACGCCTGATCTCGTGATCCCCTTGCCTTGTGATCTGCCTGCCTTAGCCTCCCAAAGTACTGGGATTACAGGCGTGAGCCACTGCATAGGTGTTCATTCCAGGGCTGTGGTACTCCAAAGCTAGGTCTTTGACCATTATGCCACCCCGCTTCCCATTTTCTTACTGTCTTCTATTCATGTTGCTTCACCTTGCTATTCCCCTTAACGTCCAAGGCTACACTTCCTTACCCCAATTTATCCCTGGTAATAAACCCTCTGTCCACTTTGTCCAACGGAGCCAGCAGCTTTGCGTAGTGGCTCAAATGTTTCAAGTAATCCTCAGAAGCATCACTGTCAAACATGTAGAGAGAAGCCATTTCTGGCAATTAGCTAAGTGTGATAATGTTAAGCAAACATTTACTAAGCACCTACTGTATTTATTTTGTCCCAAACCTAGAGCCCTGGAGGTATAAAGATGAAGAGGACCCAGCCCCTGTTCTCAGGGAACTCAGTCTAGCCAGAACAGGGGGCATGGAAAACAAATAGCTATGATGTCTTCACATTTGCAAAGCATGTCAGGGACCCACACACTGTGCGTTCTGACCCTTACACCCAGTCGACAGTTAGGTAGGGCAGGGCCATCATCCCCATTTTCTGGAGGAATAAGCCAAAGCCCCCTAGAGAGGAAGTGACTCGCCCAAGGCCACAAGGCTAGTATGGAACAGGACTAACCCCAGAAGCTCAGCCTCCCAGGAGCCAGCAGGGGATCCCCAGCCCTCTTTTACAGAAGTCTCCATTCTCACTCTTTTTTTTTTTTTTTTCTTTTTAGAGATGGGGTCCCACTATGGTTGCCCAGGCTGGCCTTCTGGGCTCTAGTGATCCTCCCACCTTGGCTTCTCAAAGTTCTGGGATTATGGGCGTGACCACCAGGCCCAGCCCCATTCTCACTCTTGACTCCTCCCTTAGGCACCTATCCTTGCCCACAGAGCTATGACAGCTGGGACTACTCAGAACTAGACCCAGAGCGATTCCGCAGAGAAGAGTTAATGTCACAGAGAAGACTGAGAAAGGGTAATTATGGCCTCCTGCCCTCTTTGCCACTGCCATACCCAACTACCATCTAACTGAGGGAGGAGTTGACGTCCTTACCATTGATGTCCTCAGGTCAGGTTCTCTCTTGAGTAACCCCAAACTAGCCACCAAAATTCTTCATGCTTGTGGACTGTAATGTACAACACAATCATTGGGAGGCGGGGGATGGAATTTTGTATTGGAAATAGTAGATGCCGAATAATGAATGTGTACCTATGTGCCAGGAACTGTGCTGTGCTCTCTGCTCTGACACCCAGGCTGGAGTGCAGTGGTGCGATCTCAACTCACTGTAACCTTCGCCTCCCAGGTTTAAGTGATTCTCCTGCCTTAACCTCCTGAGTAGCTGGGATCATAGGCGCCCACTACCATGCCTGGCTTACTTTTCTATTTTTAGTAGAGATGAGGTTTCACCATGTTGGCCACGCTGGTCTCAAACTCCTGACCTCAAATGATCCACCCGCCTTGGCCTCCCAAAGTGCTGGGATTACAGGCGTGAGCCACCATGTCCTGCCAGCCCATTTTATTTAATCCTCACAACAACCTGCTGTGGCACACAGAGTCCACTTCACAGATGAGGAAACTAAAGCTTAAAGAAGCAACTTGTCCAAGGTTGACTTTTTTATTTCACCCAGCAGACCCTGAGCTCTGGGTGCCAGGCAGTCTGCCCAGCACTGGGAACACAGTGGTGGAGGCAAGCCCAGTCCCCCTGTGGCAGGGCCAGGGAACCCCAGAATCAGGGCTTCTGCCTGGAAAGATTTGTATCTTTGCCCAGGAATGAATTCAAGGATGAGCTGGTTGTAGAAGAAAGCAGCTCACCTTGACTACTGCAGCTCTCTGGCAGCTTCTGAAGAGCAGGGCTACCCCATAAGCAGTGTGTGGAGAAGAGCAGCTCAGGGGCAGAGTTCTGCAGGCTCCTTTATACCCACTTTTAATTACAAGCAAATTAAGGGACAGGTTATTCAGAAATTTCTGGAGAAAGGGGTGGTAAATTCCAGGTCCAGTCATTGCTAAGGAATGGATAAACTGTCCTGATGCTGGTGGGCATGCCTTATGGAGACAGTCTTCAATTAGGTCTGGAGTAGAGTTCCGCCTCCTACCTCACCTTCTTCCCATCTAGTGGGAAATTCAGGCAACATAACTGCCCTGCAGGAGATTAGGCACTGCAGTGGGGAATTGAGAGGGGTAAGGCAGCAGGGGAAGGTGTACCCAGTCCAGCCCTGAGAAGGTCAGTACATGGCGTTTGAGCTGAGATTTAAAGAGTGTGTTGGTCTGAGGACCCGCAGCGTCAGCATCTCTCCAGATCAACTGACTCTGACCAGTGATCTAGAAGCACATTCCAGTTTGAGAAGCCCTGGTTTAGGGCCCAGAGGAAGAGAATGCCTGCAACCCTAGGAGCAGAGCACGGTGATAGTTTTTAGCTGGAAATTACAATAGCGATGACTTACTCAGGGCCAAACACTTTTACCTGTTAGCTCTCCAGGCATTTCCATTTCCTGACCCCTTCATAGACATGGTTTCCCTGAGGTCATCATGCATGCTTAGGGAGGTTTTTTCTTTTTTTTTTTTTTTTTTTTGTGGGGCAGAGTCTCTGTTGCCCAGGCTGGAGTGCAGTGGCGTGATCTCAGCTCCCTGTAACCTCTGCCTTCCAGGTTCAAGCAATTCTCAAGCCTCAGCCTCCCGAGTAATTGGGTTTATAGGCATGCACCCCTACGCCCAGCTAATTTTTGTATTTTTAGTAGAGACAGGGTTTTACCATGTTGCCCAGGCTGGTCTCAAACTCCTGAGTTCAAGTGATCCGGCTGCCTTAGCCTCCCAAAGTGCTGGGATTACAGGCATGAGCCACCATGCCTGGCCGACTTGAGGAGTTTTTTCAAAGTGAAGAAAAACCTAACCCATAAGTTATGTGAGTTTAATAACATTTTAATGAATATTAAATTTAACGGCTATGAGTTTGATAGATTGCTTCTTAAGCATTTAAGCATTTCAGTTTTTCAGAGTTCTGAATTGGTTTTTCTTCTGAAGCCAGTCCTTTTTTTCCTGTGGGTTGAGTGTGTGCCCTGTGCACACATTATTTCCTTTCATTGGTGTGTCAGCCCAAGAGGGAGATAGTGTTCACAGTCCAACAGGATCAGGGTAACTTGCCCTGCAGGTAGAGTCAACAGAGAGACTCTAGTTCTGGTGGGTGTCACTCTCTCCAGAAAGGAGGCTGTCTCAAGCTCCTGGGCTGCAATCTTCATTGCCCCATGACAAGAGGTACTAATAACAGCTTTTCTCCTTCTATAGGAAGAGAGTTTTCTTTGTTTACTGGTAAGAGAGCCTTCTTCCAGAAGCCAGCCCAGAGCAGGAAATTCTACCCCCCTCAGGTAAGTAGGGAGGCACAGACCGGGATCCCTTGGGCCCCAGGCCCCATAAGCTTCAGAAACCCTGGGTTCTTCTGGAGCATCAGTGGCCTCCTGTTGTGTATCTCTGTACCCTTGCCCAGGTCTACCCCATCTTCTAAGTAAGAAGCCCCGGCAGGCCTCCAGGCCTCAGTGCAGCAATTGAGAAGAGAGAGGGAAGGAACCAGATTTTCAGTGTAGGCTGCAGTGCGAGATGCTTTTACTTTTTTTTTTTTTTCTCTACTAATTCTCATGGCAAACCTGAAACCTAGCAGTCATCCCTGACACCTACTTTCTTCTCTGCCCTATTGATGTTCCTAGATGTACCTCCCAGAACCACTGGCTTCCTGCGCTTCCACTTCCACCTCCCTAGTTTGAGCTCCCACTTCCACCTCCCTAGTTTGAGCTCCCATCACTTCTGCAGTGGCACCTAACTGCTCTCCCTCAGCTTCTCAGACACCTGTAGGGCCATCTTTTCAAAGTGCAAAGCTAAGTACATCATCCCATCACCACCTGACCCTATCCTATCCCTGCACCCTAAAAACCCTACTTCCAGGCTGGACACAGTGACTCATGCCTGTAATCCCAGCACTTTGGGAGGCTGATCACTCGAGGCCAGGAGTTCAAGACCAGCCTGGTCCACATGCTGAAACCCCGTCTCTACTAAAAATACAAAAATTAGGCAGGTTTGGTGTAATGCACCTGTAGTCCCAGCTACTCAGGAGGCTGAGGCATCAGAATCGCTTGAACCTGGGAGGCAGAGGTTGCAGTGAGCTGTGATCACACCACTGCACTCCATCCTGGGTGACAGGGTGAGACTTGTCTCAAAAAAAAAAAAAAAATCCTACTTCCAGCCAATAAAACAACACCCTCCACACCCCAGAAGCCTTCCTCTAGCCTTTGGGGTAGACTGACCTGGCTCAAGCCCTTCTCCACCTTCCTGGACTCTCAGGGGTCCTGCCACAGAGGATTTATTTCAGTTCCTTGTATACCATACTCCTTTCCTATATGTGGCCTCTGTACCTCTTGTTCTTCTTGTCCCAGGTAAGCTCCCATCACCACTGCCATTGTCATTGTTAGCATCTCCTCCCAACTTCCAAGTCCAGAAACATTGGTAGCATGCAGTTAACTAAATGCCACAAATAAAGGCCTATTTTTTTTTTCCAAAGAGCTGGAAAAAAATTAAAATCCAGGACATGGTTTAGCAAACTGTGAATCAGACCTTCCACTGCCTGTTTTGTTTTGTTTTTTTTGAGTCAGAGTCTCTCTCTGTCACCCAGGCTGGAATGCAATGGCACGATCTCGGATCACTGCAACCTCTGTCCCCTGGGTTCAAGTGATTCTCCTGCCTCAGCCTCCTAAGTAGCTGGGACTACAGGCGCACACCACTGCACCCAGCTAATTTTTTGTATTTTTAGTAGAGATGGGGTTTCACCATGCTAGCCATGCTGTCTCAATCTCCTGACCTTGTGATCAGCCCGCCTCAGCCTCCCAAAGTGCTGGGATTACAGGCTTGAGCCACCATGCCCAGCCTCACTGCCTGTTTTTGAAAATAAAGCTTTATTGGCACACAGCCATGGCCATTCATTTACTATTGTCTACAACTACCTTTGCACTGAAACAGCAAAGTTAAGTACTTGCAACAGAGACCTTGTGACCTACAAAGCCAAATATTTATCATCTGGCTCTTTGCAGAAAAAAATCTGCCAACCCCTGGTCTACGAAATACATAGTCATCCTTCCATCTCAGTTCAGGTTCTTGTAGGGAGAGAAAAAAACCTTTTATTTACCCTCTTAGGCAAAGTATATGGAGCCCTACAAGTTAAACTGACAAAAGATAGACAGTTTAACAGGAGAAAGGCACTCAAATTTTATTTGATGTTAATATTTTTACATGACACAGGGCTTCATAGGAAAATAGTGAAAACCTCAAAGAAGTGGCTAGGTCTGATAGTTCACATACCACCCTAACAAAGAGCAATTAATTATGGAGATGTGACAAGACAAAGAAAAAGAGGTTTGGGTTTCTAGCGATGGTAAATTGGGGGAAAGTAAATATATGGGGGAAACTAATCTAATGGAAGATAAGGATTATTTCAGTAAGATTTGTATATGCAGATTCAGGAGGTGCCATCTCCAGTGATAAGTTGTCTCTTCTTCCTGGTATGGGAGATGGGAGTTGGGGACAGCTTCACAAAGGGAAATTTCTGCTTTGCTTTTAGATGGAAAGTGGGATGTAAAGAGCTCTTTCTGCATCTGCTGTTTCTCAGTTGCCTTCAGCTCAAAATAATTCTTATGTCAGAGTAGCCTATTTTGGGATGGCAGATTCTGACCCCCTTCACTGTCATCCTCAGGGTCAGCTTTCTGCCTCTCTGGGCTGGATGAGGTTTCTTGTTATATGGGCCAATGTCCCTTTCCTTCAGAGCCCTTATGTAATTATTTGGTCATTACCCTGATCATGGCTGTTTCCCTCACTGATCTTTTTTTTTTTAATTGGTTTATTATTTTAGAGACAGGGTCTCACTCTGTAACCCAAGCTATAGTGCAGTGGTGTGATCATAGCTCACTGCAGCCTCAACCTCCTGGATTCAAGTGATCCTACTGCCTCAACCTCCTGAGTAGCTGGAACTACAGGTACATGTCACCATGCCCAGCTAATTAAAAAATAATTTTTTTAGTAGAGATGGGGTCTTGCTATGTTGCCCGGGCTGGTCTTGAACTCCTAGCTCATGCAGTCCTCCCACCTCAGCCTGCTGAAGCACTTCAATTATAGGTGTGAGCCACTAGGCCCAGCCTTCCAGGTAATCTTTAAACCCTACGCAACATTCTCACTTCTAGTACATTGTTATATGGGCCAATGTCCCTTTATGAATGCCTCATTTCTAATGACATGCTTCCTTAAAAAATGGTACCTGAGGCTTGATTCATTAAGACAGCCCCCTCCTCTGTTTGGTCCAGGGTTGGTAGTGTTTCCACTCTGGAACATTCTCCATGGGGAGGTTTGGGATGGGTAAAGGGTGTACCTTTCTTTTGTAAAGTAGTAAAAGGCTGTTGTGAATGCCTGCACATACTCAGGACAATTCCTTCCAGGAAGCATTTTGAAAGACAAGCTAAGGATCTAGAAATTGATGTTCTCAGAACTGTCAGTCCCATTAGTCCTTGGAAAGTTTTCATGTCCCCATAGGGTTTGAAGATCTCTGGTTAAAAATCTGTTCTTGGCAGGGCACGGTGGCTCACACTTGTAATCTCAGCACTTTGGGAGGCCGAGGCAGGCAGATCACTTGAGGTCAGGAGTTCAAGACCAGTCTGGCCAACATAGTGAAATACCCATCTCTACTAAAAATACAAAAATTAGTTGGGCATGGTCACAGGCACCTGTAATCCCAGCTACTTAGGAGGCTGAGGCAGGAGAATTGCTTGAACCTGGGGGGTGGAGGTTGCAGTGAGCTGAGATCACACCTCTGCACTCCAGGCTGGGCAACAGTTATTGCTGTTCCATCTTTTTTACCTCCTAGAACAGACCTAACACAAAGAAGACACTTAACAATATTTCTGGACTTGGTGAATGAGGTCATCTATGTAAATTCTTGGCCCTGTGCTTAGCATATAATGATGCTCTGTAAATCAGTTCCCAAAAAGCGCAGATGAAACAGGTGCTGCAGAAGAACAGCCATCACTCAGAGACCAATACCAAAATATTATTCAGTGTTTGGGTACTGCCTGTCACAACGGCTTGAAACAAATGTGTGTTCTTTGTACTGAAATACATAAACTCTTCTGACAGTTATTTCAGGAACCTAGTTAAGAGATTCCATTTACTGCCCCCAAAATAGAAATAATCAAAAACTCTGAAACCTTGAGCACAGCTGAAGTTTTAATGGGCAAACCAGGATAGAGGGAGTAATTGAGTTTTATGATGGGGATAGAGCCTCTCTTGTCAAGAACAGACACATTTTCCCTTCTGCTCAATGAAAGCGCTGACTGTGTTCAAAATATGCTTTTCATGGCAATCGTCTGTCTGAGAGTCCACAATTCAGGGGAATGAGCTGCAATTACTTCAGGCCTCTGACCTGCTGTCTGCCCTTCTCTTAAGTGTTAAGGATTTGCACAGTGGGAATGAAAAAGTACCAAACCACAGAGCTGGCTTCTGCGACGAGACCCAGCTATCAATTAGGACACCGACCTATTAGAGACTGAGTCATTTGTTCATTTAATAAATATTTTTAAAGATAGAACAGTTTTAGGAAATGGAATCTGAGGGAGAAAATGATAGGGAGAGAGAAAACCAGGGAGATGAAAAGGGCAGAGGGCAGGATATTCTCCCCTGCCTCTTTGTACAGTGCCTCAACTCTGTCCCCCTTTCCTAGTTCCCAGGTCCTAAACCTGGAGAAAGAAGTAGTTGAGAAACTGGACTATCAAATTAGGCATGAATTAGAATCCTAGCTCTTAGCCTGGCCAAGATGGTGAAACCCTGTCTATACCAAAAGCACAAAAATTAGGTGGGTGTTGTGGCATGCACCTGTGGTCCTAGCTAGTTGGGGGACTGAGGCATGAGAATCGCTTGAACCTGGGAGGCAGAGGTTGCAGTGAGCTGAGATTACACCACTGCATTCCAGCCTGGGCGGCAGAGTGAGACCCTGTCTCAAAAAAAAAAAAAAAAAAAAAGAATCCTAGCTCTCAGATGAGTGACTTCATCTCCCTGAACCTCAGTTTTTCTTATTGGTAAAATGGGTACCTAGAGAATCAGTCACAGTGTGGGCATTAAATATGATCTTATATGCAAGCATTCAGCAAACAGCATAGCATAGAGTAAGAACTCAGTAAACATGAGCTCTTATATTATACAAGGGTGATATCTAGAGAAACACAGCTGGAGATTAGGAAAAGTGATGTCTTTGAGCCAGGAAGGCATACATTTCAGGACCCCCATCATCTGTGAAACCCAGTTGTACACCTTTCCCCGTTACATATGCCAGGTGCAAACATGGATTATTAGGATCCTGGGCGTTGTCTCTGGGAAGATGATGAGATGGCTGAAACACTACATTGTCAGGACATCCCTGGGCTGAGACCTTGGACATAGGTCCTTGCAGGGAACAGGGAGGGAATATATATATACATATATATTCTGGTTTTTGTAGAGCCAAAAAGAAAAAAAAAGGCAGTGAAAAAAGGCCACTGTAAGGAGGAATCATCAGAGTTCTCAGTTGCAAACAATAGAATCCACTCAAGCTATTTTAAGCAGAAAGAAGTGTATTAAGACAGGGTTTCTCCATGTTGGTCAGGCTGAGGCAGGAGAATCGCTTGAACCCAGGAGGCAGAGGCAGCAGTGAGCTACGATCGCGCCATGGCACTCCAGCCGGGGCAACAAGAGTGAGACTCCATCTCAAAAAAATAAAATAAAAAGAGCATTGATGCTTCATTGAGCCCTGGGATTGTTTTCCTGCAACCACTTCAACACTATAAAGATCAGTAGCTGTTGGACAGCCAGCTGCATGATGTCTGGGAAGTCCTTTCGGCTTTCTCCTGCCCATTCAAATATCACATTTCTATAAAAGCAAACGGTTGTTGTTGAGGCTGGTGGACTGCTTGTCTGCCACTTGGTGGGCCATCTGTTTAACATTGCCAAACTCCTACTCATCCTTAAAGACAGAATGCAAGTGTCTTCTCTCCTTGGAAGCCCTCCAGCTCTCGCCCAGACAGAATCCAGCTCTAGCTTCCCGTGATACTCTCCTCACACTGCATGTGGCCAACCATGAGTTGTTTCCCAATATCCCTTGTCCCCTTCACCTATGAAAAAAAACACTTCTGATTTTTTGCTGGGCATGTACCTGGCCAAAATAAAGAGTATATTTTCTAGCCTCCCCTACCTCTGTGTGTGGCCATGTGACTAAGATCCAGTTAATGAAATATAAGTGGATGTGTCATGTGGCAGTTTCTGGAAACTTTCCTTAAAAAACAGCTTTATCTCTTTGTCCTTTCCTCCTTCCTGCTGCCTGGAATGTGAATGTGATAGCAGGAGCTCCAGATGCCTTCCTAGACCCTAAAAACATGGCCGGGTGCGATAGCTCACACCTGTAATCCCAGCACTTTGAGAGGCTGAATCAGGCAGCTCACCAGAGGTCAGGAGTTCGAGATCAGCCTGGCCAACATGGTGAAACCCTGTCCGTCCTCAAAATACAAAATTAGTCAGGTATAGTGACACACACCTAAAATCCCAGCTACTTGGGAGGCTGAGGCAAGAGAATTGCCTGAACCCAGGAGGTGAAGGTTGTAGTGAGCCAAGATCACACCATTCCACTTCTGCCTAGGTGGCAAGAGCAAAACTCTGTCTCAAAAAAAAATAGAACGAGGGTCTTATGAAACCTGAAACCGTGCTCTGGAAGAAGTCAGAATTTGCCCAGGTGCCATAGCTCATTCCTATAAGCCCAGCACTTTGGGAGGCTGAGGAAGGAGGATCACTTGAGGTCAGGAGTTTGAGACCAACCTGGCCAACATGGTGAAACCCCATCTCTACTAAAAGAACAAAAATTAGGTGGGCAGGGTGGTGGGCACCTGTAATCCCAGCTCGGGAGGCTGAGGCAGGAGAATTTATTGAACCCCGGGAGGCAAAGTTTGGAGTGAGCCAAAATTGCACCATTGTACTCCAGCCTCAGCAACAGAACAAGATTCCATCTCAAAAAAAAAAAAAAAAAATCAGAATCCCTGAGGATTTAGCACCACCAGTGCTTAGAAACACCGTGTGAGCCCAGGCTTGCCTGCCTTCAGACTTTTATGTGAAAGAGGAATTTCTTTATTTTTATTTATTTATTTTAAGACAGGCTCTTGCTCTGTCACCCAGGCTGGAATGCAGTGGGGCAGTCATGGCTCACTGCAGCCTCAACCTCTCAGGCTCAAGCAATCCTCCCACCTCAGCCTCCCAAATAGCTGGGACTACAGGCGCACACCACTATATGCTTGGCTAATTTTTTTTTTCGTAGAGACAAGGTCTCACTATGTTGTCCAGGCTGGTGGGAGATAAATTTCTACCTATTTTGAGCCACTGTTATTTTGAGTGTCTGTCACATTCAAACATAATCCTAACTTCTGTAGCCTCTATATAACAACAACGGGATGCCTGCCACACTCTAGTGTAACTATTTACCGTTATCTCCTCTGCTCGACGGGAAGCTCCTCAAGTCAGGGGCTCGGTTTCATTGTTTGCCCAGTGCAGACATATTAGTAGTTGCCCAGTGAAACATTTGCTAAAAATAGTGATTGCATAAAGGATGATAGCAATGTTTTTGGAGCACTCACCAGGAGCACTCATGTAATTTGCATACATTAGCTGACTTAATCCCACAAGGAAACCAAAGTGGTGAAGAGGTTTGATGACTTGCCTTAGATCACTGGCTCTTGAGTGAGAGAATGGGGACTGGAACCCTGGTTGGCCAGCCCATGTGTTTTCCACATCAGCCACTACTCTCTGCCATGCTCCTGAGAGGACCTGAAAAATCATCCTCTACATGTTCCTTTGCTGAGAACAGTAAGAAATAGCAAAGAAATTACATTTATTACCTTTTTGTATTTCTCTGACTACTAACTTTATTTTGTTCTCTCTCTCTTTCTCCCTCTCTCTCTCTTTTGTCTCCTGAAGTCTTTTAGTGCAAATTCACCCAGTGAAAAATCCTCTTCAGCCAAGCAGAACTCAGAAAAAAGTTCACAAATACAGGACACTGCAAAAGGTATATTGACTACCAAAAAGGGAAATGTAGACTGAGTTATTATCTCCGAAACCCTGGTTTCTTGAGTTGGTTTGAACAGAATTTTCTTTTTTTTTTCTTTTTTTTTTTTTTTTTGAGACGGAGTTTCACTCTTGTTACCCAGGCTGGAGTGCAATGGCGTGATCTCGGCTCACCGCAACCTCCGCCTCCCGGGTTCAGGCAATTCTCCTGCCCCAGCCTCCTGAGTAGCTGGGATTACAGGCACGCGCCACCATGCCCAGCTAATGTTTTTTTTGTATTTTTAGTAGAGACGAGGTTTCACCGTATTGACCAGGCTGGTCTTGATCTCTTGACCTCGTGATCCACCCGCCTCGGCCTCCCAAAGTGCTGGGATTACAGGCTTGAGCCACCTTGCCCGGCCTGAACAGAATTTTCTACCCTACTCTATACTTGGGGTTCCACCCTGGGTTTTGGCACCAAGTAATACTTTATGAAAGGATGCAATTGTCTTTTCAGTTCAGCAAGAACTGATTAAGTTCTACTTTTGTGGTGTTGAGGTCAGTACAGTGCTAATATCTGTACTGACTTGTACAGGGGAAGAGAGGTTGTTGACACTAGAAGAAAATAAATTTAAGACATGCGGACTGCTCCTCTCCCCCACCAGAAACCAGTAATTACTAAGGTTGGAAGTAATTTGCACCCAGGTCTTAATCTATAAAGGTGACTTAGTGATAGCACAGAGAGGTCAGTGCCATTGAAAGAAAATTTCAATGTTACTTATAATTCCCCTGGAAATTCCCCCTGGAAATTGTGAGTAACATTAAACTCAACACACCATGCATTCAGGGCCGGGGGGAGGCACCAGTGCTGGTCAGGAGGCAGAAAGGAGCATGAAGAAGGGATAGGCCACACTCTTTTTTTTGAAATTTCATTAGGAAAGACAAAGCAAGGCATGGTAACTAGTTTAGGATTAGCTGGGTGCCGTGGCTTACACCTGTAATCCCAACATTTTGGGAGGCCAAGGCAGGAGGACTGCTTGAGCCCAGAAGTTCAAGACTGGCCTGAGTAACATAGTGAGACCCTGTCTCTAAAAAAAAAAAAAAAATTTAAAGCTGGGTACTGTGGGTGTACATCTGTACTCCCAGCTACTAAGGAGGCTGAGGTGGGAGGATCTCTTGAGTCCCAGAGGTTGAGACTGCAGTGAGTCATGATTGAGCATTTAATGAATATTTACTATATGCCAGGTACTATGCCAAACCTTATGCAAACAGCCTGCGTGACAGTGATGCCCTGTCTCCAAAAAAATTTAAAAAGTTTAGAATTGGCTGGATTGAATAATTCCAGTGGGTTCTAGGGCATAGGAGCTGTCCCTAGTTGGCTTGGTGTGTGAGTTAGATAGAGTTGGTTCAGAGTGTGGCCTCTGGATTGTGGGAGAGGTATATAAGCAACTTTGTTAGTCTAGCGCTGTGTAATTAATGGATGGCAAACAGACAAATACAGAATATAAGAAAACATTGAACAGGAACTCTTAAGTATCATTCTAGGTAATTTTTTTTAATTTATTTTTTTTATTGCGACAGAGTCTCACTCTGTCACCCAAGCTGGCGTGCAGTGGCATGATCTCAGCTCACTGCAACCTCCGCCTCCCGGGTTCAAGAGATTGCCCTGCCTCGGCCTTCTGAGTAGCTGGGACTATAGATGTGTGCAACCGTGCAGGACTAATGTTTTGTATTTTAGTAGAGACGGGGTTTCACCATGTTGGCCAGGCTGATCTCAAACTCCTGACTAAGTGATCCGCCCACCTCGGCCTCCCAAAGTGCTGGGATTACAAGCATGAGCCACCATGCCCAGCCGGGTAATTTCACTTATTATTATTATTGAAACTTTATTCTTTTTCTTGAGGGACAAATGGAGGCTCAGAGAAGTTAGCATGTAAATTATGTCTCAATAAAACTGTTAAAGAAAAAGCCTAGGGACCACTGATCAAGAGGTTTAGCTAGGGCTCTAAATAGAGGTAAATATTTGCAGGAAACTTTGCAAGTCCCCCAGAGTTTACATATATATTCAATTAATGAAGACCCATGTGTCAAAGAGGAATTGCCAAGGGAAATTAGAAAATATTTGAACTGAATGAAATGAGACCTTCTTTTCTAATACGAGCATTTATTTAAGGCTAGAGGCTTCCCTCTAAACTGCTTTAGCTGGGCACAGTGGCTCACACCTGTAATCCCACCACTTTGGGAGGCCAAGGTGGGCAGGTCATTTGAGGCCAAGAGTTTGAGACAAGCTTGATCAACATGGTAAAACCCCGTCTCTACTAAAACTACGAAATTTAACTGGGCATGGTGGCACACACCTGTAGTTCCAGCTACTCAGGAGGCTGAGACATGAGAATTGCTTGAATCTAATGGTCATTTTCTTGCTAATGTCACATTGACAGAGCATCATTTTCAGACCCTGGTCTTGAAGAAACCCACAGAAGAAGCCAAGAGAATATCAGAAGCAAGAGAATGTGAGAATATGTTTCCTAAAAAGGTGAGCACATGATTGGAAATTTAATAGTAAAGGTAATTTCAAAGGAGGTGAGAGATATATTATAAAATGATAATTAACATTTAATGAATATTTATTTACTATATGCCAGGTACTATGCCAAACCTTATGCAAACTGTTTATTTTACTATCACAGTCTGCCGAGATAGTTGCTATTATTATTCTCCAGTTTATTAATGAGCAAAGTGATTTTTAGAGCAGGTACCCAATTTGTCAAATAGCACAAAGCAAACAAATGATAACAAAAGTAAAAAAATAAAGGCTGGACACAGTGGTTCATGCCTGTAATCCCAGCACTTTGAGAGACCTTGGCAGGTGGACCACTTGAGGTCAGGAGTTTGAGACCAGCCTGCTAAAAAATGCAAAAATTAGTTGGGCGTGGTGGCATGCCTATAATCCCAGCTACTCAGGAGGCTGAGGCAGGAGAATTGCCTGAACCTGGGAGGCAGAGGTTGCAGTGAGCCGAGATGGTGCCACTGCACTTTAGCCTGGCAACAGAGTGAGACTCCCTCTTAAATAAATAAATAAATAAATCGCAGAAAGTGATAAAATCAAGATGTGCATGCAGATCTAACTGGCTCTGAGCCTGAGCTTTCAACCACCGAACCTTTCTTCCAGCACAGCACCCAGCACAGGAAAGGCACTAGTATCATTCTCTCCTCTTCCCCTTCCCCACAAACCTCGGTGGATGGTAGTTTATATCAGTAGAAACTTCAGTCTTGTGTAGTAGGACCTGAACAGGGTGAGAGGTTTGGGAGCCTCCAGCTAGCAAAGGAGGCAGGCCATAGAATTTGGGCCAAGTAAAATGAGAAATACAGATTTATTGTTTTTTGTTTTGTTTTTTTTGAGACGGAGTCTTGCTCTGTCACCCAGGCTGGAGTGCAGTGGCCTGATCTCATCTCACTGTAACCTCTGCCTCCCAGGTTCAGCAGTTCTCCTGCCTCAGCCTCCTGAGTAGCTGGGATTAGAGGTGTGTGCCACTATGCCCAGCTAATTTTTTTGTATTTTTGGTAGATAGAGGGTTTCATCATGTTGTCAGGCTGGTCTCAAACTCTTGATCTTGTGATCCACCCGCCTCAGCCTCCCAAAGTGCTGGAATTACAGCCGTGAGCCATCGCACCCAGATGATTTCTTGTTTTCTTTTTTTGGTTTTTGTTTTTTTTGATACAGAGTCTCACTCTGTTGCCCAGGTTGGAGTGCAGTGGTGCAATCTCGGCTCACTGCAACCGCTGCCTCCTGGGTTCAAGTGATTCTCATGTCTCAGCCTCCCAAGTAGCCGGGACTACAGCATGTTCCACTATGCCGGACTAATTTTTATATTTTTAGTAGAGACGGGGTTTCACCATGTTGGTCAGGCTGGTCTCAAACTCCCGACCTCAGGTGATCTGCCTGCCTCGGCCTCCCAGAATGCTGGGATTACAGGCATGAGCCATCATGGCCAGCCTGGAAATACGTTTTTATTCTCTTGGATAGATACCTACGAGTGGCATTTTTGGGTCATATGGTATCTCTATGTCCAACGTTTTGAGGAGCCGCTAAACTATTTTGCACAGTGCTGTACCATTTTACATTCCTACCATGTATGAGGTTTCCAGTGTCTCCACATTCTCACCAACACTTATTTTCTGTTATTTTTATTATACCTCTCCTAGTGGGTGTGAAGCAGTATCGTACTGTGGTTTTGACTTGCATTTTCCTCAGTGACTAATTCTATAGAGGAGCTTTTCATGTGCCTGGTGTTCATTTGCCTGTCTTCTCTGGGGAAATCTCTATTCAAATTAGTTATCATTTTTTGATTTGGTTGTTTGTCTTTTTATTGTTAAGTTGTAAGAATAGAACCAAAATTTTACCATGCATAGTCTTACTCCTGATCCCATGCTGTAAATCAGTCTCTACTCACTGCAATGTGTCTTAGAGAATGGTCCATATGAGACCACAGAAAGATCTAGCAAGTTCTGTTTTCATGGCTCAAGGCGCTGTGTTCCATAATTCATTCACATGGTCTGTTGGTGGTCGTGTAAGCACTTCCAGTTTTTTGCTATTGTAAACACTGCTGCTTTGAACATCTTTGTGTGTGTGTGTGTGTGTGTGTGTGTGTGTGTGTGTTGTGTTGTGTTTCTTGGCTCACATATATAAGAATACATGTAGGAAAGATTTATATAAGTGGAATTACTAGATCTAAGTATGTGCACCTTAAATTGCTCTCCAAAGAAATTATGCCTTTTTTTTTTTTTTTTTTGGGAGATGGGGTCTCATTCTATCCCCCTGGCTGGAGTACAGTGGTGCAATCACAGCTCACTGCAGCATCAGCCTCCTGGGCTGAAGGGATTCTTCCACCTCAGCCTCCCGAGGATCTGGGACCACGAGCACATGCCACCACAACTGGCTAATTGATTTTTATTTTTTGGTAGAAATGGGATCTCCTTATGCTCGCCCTGGCTGGTCTCAAACTCTTGGGCTCAGGAAATCCTCCCACCTTGGCCAACCAAAGTGCTGGGATTACAGGCATGAACCACTGCACCTGGCCTATTTTGCCAATTTATATTCCCACTAGCAGCATATGAGCGATTTTCCCCGTACCCTTGCAAACATTATGGATTATCAAATTATTTGTTAACATTCTGATGAGGGGGAAATGGTACCTTATATTGGTCCAATGTTAATGATTTAATCATGAATGAAGTTCAACCTATTTTTCTATATTTATTTTATTATTATTATTTTTTGAGGTGGATTCCCACTCCGTTGCCCAGGCTGGAGTTCAGTGGCCCAATCACTGCAACCTCCACCTCATAGCTTCAGACGATTCTCCTGCCTCAGTCTCCCAAGTAGCTGGAACTACAGGAACATGTCACCACACCCAACTAATTTTTGTATTTTTAATAGAGACAGGGTTTTGCCATGTTGGCCAGGCTGGTCTCAAATTCCTGACCTCAGGTGATCCGCCCACCTCAGCCTCCCAAAGTGCTGGGATTACAGACATGAGCCACTGCGCCCATCCAGAAGTTCTTAATTTTTATAGTCATATTTAGTGGTAGTCTTTTATGGCTTCTAAATTTCATTTCTTGATAAGCTCCTTATCATTCTAAGATTATATAAAACATCTTGCCCAATTTTTTCACAGTGTTTTATATTATCACCTATTCTCAACATAATCTTTACTCACAGAACCCCCAGTATCACCAGGGGTCACTCTGTTCCTTAGAATTTAGCTAAAGATGGGCTGAAGCGTTTGTTATCTAATTTGTTTGAAGTCTAGTACCCTCTCAGAAATGTCTGTGAACTCTGGGGCCTGCTGTTTTCCTGGCACCAAGCTCCTTGTCTGTCCTGCATGTGCTATGCACATGCTAACAGCATCAGCCCAAATGTGGAACTCACCTTTTCTTTTTTTACAAAAACCACTCACGGCCTCTGTGTACACGTATCTGTGTATATGGAAGAATGGAAGACTTTATGGAAGTTTAAAAAGATGAGGAGAGGGGTGCCCGTAGCACAGTAATGCCAAGAATTTTTTTTTTTTTTTTTTTTTTTTTTGAGGCAGAGTCTCGCTCTGTCACCCAGGCTGGAGTGCAGTGGCAAGACCTTGGCTCACTGTAACTTCCGCCTCCTGAGTTCAAGCTATTCTCCTGCCTTAGCCTCCCAAGTAGCTGGGATTACAGGTATGCTCCACCATGCCCAGCTAATTTTTGTATTTTTAGTAGATATGGGGTTTAGCCATGTTGGTCGGGGGGGTCTTAAACTCCTAACCCCAAGTGATCTGCCCACCTTGGCCTCCCAAAGTGTGGAATTAACAGGCGTGTGCCACCATGCCTGGCTAATTTTTGTACTTTTAGTAGAGATGAGATTTTGCTATGTCAGCAGGCTGGTCTAGAACTCCTAATCTCAAGTGATCTGCCCATCTCCATCTCCCAAAGTGCTGGGATTACAGGTGTGAGCCACTGCTCCCAGACCACAATAATGCAAAAAATTTTAAAGTTAATATTAGTTGGCCAGGCATGGTGGCTCACGCCTATAATCCAAACACTTTGGAGGGCAAGGAGGGTGGATCACCCGAGGTCAGGAGTTTGAGACCAGCCTTGCCAACATGGCGAAACCCTGTCTCTACTAAAAATACAAAAATTAGCCAGGCATGGTGGCTGGCTCACACCTGTAATCCCCGCTACGTGGGAGGCTGAGCCAGGAGAACCACTTGAACCCAGGAGGTGGAGGTTGCAGTGAGCTGAGATTGCCCCATTGCACTCTAGACTGGGTGACAGAGTAAGACTCCATCTCAAAAAGAAACAAAAATAAAATAAAAAATAAAGTGAATATTAGTTGCCCTTCTTAAAACTCCTTTAGGGCCGGGCGCGGTGGCTCAAGCCTGTAATCCCAGCACTTTGGGAGGCCGAGGCGGGTGGATCACGAGGTCAAGAGATCGAGACCATCCTGGTCAACATGGTGAAACCCCGTCTTCTACTAAAACTACAAAAAAATTAGCTGGGCATGGTGGCGCATGCCTGTAGTCCCAGCTACTCAGGAGAATTGCTTGAACCCAGGAGGCGGAGGTTGCGGTGAGCCAAGATCGCGCCATTGCACTCCAGCCTGGGTAACAAGAGCGAAACTCCGTCTCCAAAAAAACAAACAAACAAACAAACAAAAAACTCCTTTAGCCATTCTACCATTTGCCAGGGCATCTTCTTCCAGTTTTCTCCACTTTCTTCTCTCCCTTTCTTTCTTTCACCCGAACTCCTGCTCATGTCTAGTGCAGGGCAGAAGCTTTCCTTTGCCTTCAGTCACGCTGGAGACTCTCACCTGCTTACCAAGTGGCTTGTTCCATGTCTCCCAAGGAAAAGACAGCTCTGCCCGGTAGTGAATTATGGTACCAGCCGATACAATTTGTTTGTATCCCCCTAGACTTCCTTCGTTTTTTTTTTTTTGGAAACCAAATCTCGCTCTGTTGCCCAGGCTGGAGTGCAGTGGCATGATCTTGGCTCACTGCAACCTCTGCCTCCCAAGTGATTCTCCTGCCTCCCAAGTAGCTGGGATTACAGTCACGCACCACCACGCCTGGCTAATTTTTTTGTATTTTTAGTAGATACGGGGTTTTACCATGTTGGCTAGGCTAGTCTTGAACTCCTGACCTCAAGTGATCTGCGCACATCAGCCTCTCAAAGTGCTGGGATTACAGGCATGAGCCACCACACCTGGCCTAGACTCCTTTTTAAAGGATTTTTAAAAATATGTATCTTGCATTTTTAGATGTTTTGTCATGAGTTTAGGGCATCCTTTAAAATTTTAAAATACATGTACCTATGACCTGGTAATTCCGCTTCTAATAATCTATCCTGTAGAAATGTTCATTACAAGAGTATCCCTTACAGCATTAATCTGTACCAGCAGAAATCGAAGAAAACTTCAATTTCAGTAGAGAAATAGGTAAATGTTGAAGTGTCCATAATAAGGATACACTGCTGCTATGAAAAACCATGAGGAAGATTTACACCTTCTGATATGAAATCAGAAGGGGATTTCATATCAAATCTTTCTGATATGAAAGACTGTCAGCCAATGACATCTAAAAGTTAATCAAGAAAATGGTGGCTTACGCCTGTAATCCCAGCACTTTGGGAGGACAAGGAGAACACCTGAGGTCAGGAGTTCGAGATCAGCCTGATCAACATGGTGAAACTCTGTATCTACTAAAAAATACAAAAATTAGCCAGCCAGGGTGGTGGGCACCTGTAATCCCAGCTACTCAGGAGGCTGAGGCAGGAGAATTGCTTGAACCAGGAGGCAGAGGTTGCAGTGAGCTAAAATTGTACCACTTCACTCCAGCCTGGGTGACAGAGTGAGACTCAGTCTCAAATAATAATAATAATAATAATAATAAAATTAATCAAGAAAATATCACAGGCAATGTAGTTAGCAAGTGAAAATTAAAGTTGTAAAATATTATGTATAGGGTGATTCCATCTTTATTTTTGTGCCCATTCTTAACCATCACAGTCATTTGTCCTCACATCAGTCAAAAAGCCCTTAACAGATTACCCAGATTATGTTTCACCCCAGCTAAGAATCTCCCAGTGGCTTCCATGACTCTTAGAAAAAAGATCCCAGCTCCTCACCATGGCCATGGCCCCTGCTCCCACTGCACCACCGTCACCCCATGTGAGCCACCTCATTTCTGCCCCTCAATCAAGTACATATTGGCGGCTGGATCTGTTGCACCTGCTGTCTTCTTAGCGAGGAGCATCTCCTGATAGACCATGCAATGGCTCCCTCCCCAACGGCATTCAGGATCCCTGAGGTCTCACCTCCTCACAGCCTTGGAAGCCCAGTCCTCTTCTCCTTAGCTTTCTCCATACCCTGGCCTGCTTGATCTTATTAGTATTCATCCAACTATAATGCAAACTCCATGAGGGCTGGAATTTGTCTTGTTCTCTGCGGAATCTCCAGCACCTAAAATAGTATTTATACATAGCAGTCATTCAATACGTATTTGCTGAATCAATTATTAACATTTGGCTCACGTCTGTAATCCAAGCACTTCAGGAGGCTGAGGTGGGAGGATTACCTGAGGTCAGGAGTTCCAGACCAGCCTGGCCAACATGATGGCACCCGTCTCTACTAAAAATACAAAAATTAGCTGGGCGTGGTGGTGGGCACCTGTAATCTCAGCTACTTGGGAGGCTGAGTCAGGATAATCTCTTGAACCCGGGAGGTGGAGGTTGCAGTGAGCTGAGATCATGCCACTGCACTCCAGCCCGGGCAATAGATTGAGACTCAGTCTCTCTCTCTCTCTCTCTCTCTATATATATATATATATATATATATAGAGCATATATATATGCTTTATATATATATGCTTTATATATGCAATCTGAGTATACATATACTTTATATATTACAATCTGAGTGTGTGTATATATATAGATATGCATATACATAACACTATCAAACTTTGCATCTCAGTATTTAAAAATTTACTATTATACCTGAAACCCTGAAAATTTTTTTTTTTTGAGACAAAGTTACGATCTTGGCTCACCATAACCTTCACCTCCCGGGTTCAAGTGAATCTGCTGCCTCAACCTCCTGAGTAGCTGGGATTACAGGCATTCGCCACCACACCTAGCTAATTTTGTGTTTTTAGTAGAGACAGGGTTTCTCCATGTTGCCCAGGCTGGTCTCAAACTCTCGACCTCAGGTGATCCACCTGCCTCAGCCTCCCAAAGTGCTGAGTTTACAGGCATGAGCCACCACACCTGGTGGCTGAAGGCTTTTTTAGGCTGTCAACTCTTAGTGAACATTTTAATAGTGGCATACCATTCCTTTGGGTAAAGAGATCAATATCTTCTCCTTGAACATCTAAGTTATTCTCATCTTTTGCTATGTATAGTAAATTGCTGTGGACATCTTTGTGCCTTGGCCTTTTTTTCTTTGAGTAATCTTAGGATGCATCCTAAAACTAGAATTACTGGATCCAAGGACATGACAACTTTGATGCCTTTCTGTTTCTTAATAGATGATGTAAAAATGACAATATCCTTTATTTTTTCCTCTTTCTTTCATCCTCAGTCTTGTGATGCTGGCAGAAGTCCTGAGATGACCTCAAACCTCTTCAACATTTATGGGAGGAGCCCTCTGATTGTGTATTTTCTCCATAACTATGCCAGTCTGCAGCAGCACGGCAAGGATGTATTGATAGTCAGAAGGGAAAAGACCACAGGCACCCCATATCCTTGTCACTGTGGGCAGGGTATGCACTGCTCCAGGCCCCTGCTTCCTCTTCCCAGAAGCAGAGGTCAGAGAACGGCACCAAGGCCTTAGCCCAGTGCCTGGCACGCAGTGGGTATTCATCAGAGGTGGCCAGTGGTATGGTCCTCAGGGTCAGAATAATACTCATCTGAGTTCCAAATCTAGAGCCAGCCTCGTGAACTGGCTGTGAGACCCCAGAGTGTGTCAAATTTCCTTATGTGCAAAATCTCTTTTACACTTACCAGAATGAATGTGCTAACTTGGTGTTCTAACATATATTGAAACTAAATAATGCTTCCAAGATACGCATTGGCCCCAGAGTATGTACTGACCAAGAATTTTGTTGTCCACATGTATGTTTCATCTATCACCCTCCTCAGACATGCTCCTCCCTTAGACCTGTCAGCAAATTCCTGGCCCTTTTGCCATTTATCCTAAAAATCTAATAGAAAGCTCAGATCTTGGGCGGGGCACAGTGGCTCACACCTGTAATCCCAGCACTTTGAGAGGCTGAGGTGCGCGGATCATGAGGTCAAGAGTTCGAGGCCAGCCTGACCTGGTGGTGAAACCGTCTCTCTACCAAAAATACAAAAATTAGCTGGGTGTGGTGGCATGCACGTGTAATCCCAGCTACTCAGGAGGCTGAGGCAGGAGAATCACTTGAACCTGGGAGGCAGAGGTTGCAGTGAGCTGAGATTGCACCACTACACTCCAGCCTGGGTGACAGAGTGAAACTCACTCCATTAAAAAAAAAAAAAAAAAGGAAGGAAGGAAGGACACATGTTCAGATCTCAAGAAAACAGGTGTGGCATGTGTTAGTATCCTGAGTCTTAGCAGTTTACCATAGGAGTCAGAGAACATGAGTTCTATTTGGAATCAGATTGGTCTATTGGCTCAAATGGACCTGGACTCAGGAACCAGCAACTGAATGATTTTAGGTAAGTTCCAGCTTCTCTCTGTTCCTCATTTTTTTCACCTGTAAAATAGGGATAAGAGTACCTGCCTCATAGGTCTGTTTTGCAGATTACGGACACAACAGAGATAAAGGCTTAGCACAGTGCCTGGCAGATAACAAGGGCTGGGATGACCAGCGTCTACATGGAGCTCCCCAACAGGAGGAGTTTCGTAATGAACTAGGGAGGACTTTGCACCTACTGCTTCATGTAACTCCATGTCCACACACTTATTTACACATTCCATAGGGAGAGAGTAATAACAACTCACATTTCATAGTGTTTGATTTCTTGCAGCGTGTTTTCCCAAACATCACTTCATTGTTCTGTAAAGACAGTTTCGTGTAGTGGAAGGAACCTGGGTTGGGATACCCAGCCCTAGATTTGAGTCCCAGTTTAGCAGCCACTGGCTTTGAGATCTTATGTGCACAGCTCGACCTCCAAACTCAGTATCTTTATCTACTCATTTAAGATTTGGATAGTTATACCAAACTTATATTTTTGTTGTGATGAGGATTAAATCGCATACAGCTGGTACTACATAAGTAACTACCGTTATTATTAACATCATCTAAAATGGGCATTATTACCTCTATTTTACAGATATGGAAATGGAGGCATAGAGGATAACTGATATCTTGTCTGAGGTCTCACAGCTTGTGGCGAGTGTAGCTGAGATTCTAACCAATCAAGGTGGGTGGAAGGAGGGCAGAGCAGAGGGAGAATGTTGTTGTTTTTTTTTGAGACGAAGTCTCGCTCTGTCGCCAGGCTGGAGTACAGTGGCGCAATCTCTGCTCACGGCAACCTCCTCCTCCCGGGTTCAAGGGATTCTCCTGCCTCAGCCTCCTAAGTAGCTGGGATTACAGATGAGCACCACCACACCCAGCTAATTTTTGTATTTTTAGTAGGGACAGCATTTCCCCATTCTGGCCAGGATGGTCTCAATCTCCTGACCTTGTGATCCGCCCGCCTTGGCCTCCCAAAATGCTGGGATTACAGGTGTGAACCACTGCACCCAGCCCTAGGGAGAATGTTTCTATATACAAACGAGATGGAGAATGAGGCCTTGACTAAAAGAAAAGGAAAGCTAGAAGCTCTTCCTATTCACCACCATGATAATAGAGTAAGAATTTCAGGTGATAGTCTCAAAAAGTATTTCTTAGTCCTGCCTTCCATCCGCAGGGGCAGAGAAGGGCTTTATTCCTAGGTAGAGAATGCCTGGCCACAGATAGGACAGCCTCTTCCCTCCAAAGCAGGCCATGGTCAAAGAGCAGGAGAGTCATTTTCCGCTCAGATTTCAGGTATCTTATCCAGAAAGGCAGAGCATTTTCCCTTCTCTGTCGTCCATGCCCCTCCTCCCCATGCACTGTGCTCACACCACTAATAATGCAGAGTCAACACAGTTCAACAGTACCAGGATTTCCTTGACAATGGAAGCCACCGAGTCCACCCTGACGTATACTGATGTCATCAAAGAGACCCTGTGCAGCATGAAGAAGCGGAAAGACAACCTCAATCAGTTGTACCAGCTTCACTGGAGTGAATGGAATTATTTTGACAAGTACCTAAAGGAACTGCAAGACAACTTCTCCAGGTATGGAAGGGGCTTTGGGAAACGCCACTGTTTCAGCACTCATCTTTTGCAGCACATTGTCATCATCATTTTTAAATGGGTTGGTGGGGGCGGGGGGGGGGTTCCCTGTAACTGTTGTAAGCACAGTCAGCTTTCTTGCGGTCAGAATATAAACTCCTAATAACAGAGACCAGAGCTTTTTTTGTTTTTGTTTTTGTTTTTTCTTTCTTCTTTCTTTCTTTTTTTTTTTTGAGACAAAATCTCGCTTTGGTTACCCAGGCTGGAGTGCAGTGGTGTGATCTTGGCTCATTGCAGCCTCTGCCTCCTGGGCTCAAGCAATCCTCCCACATCAGCCTCCCAAGTAGCTGGGATTGTAGGTGTGCACCACCATGCCTGGCTAATTTTTGCGTTTTTAGTGGAGACAGGGTTTTACCATGTTGACCAGGCTGATCTCAAACTCCTAACCTCAGGTGATCTGCCCACCTCAGCCTCCCAAAATGTTGGGATAGGTGTAAGCCACCACACCCAGCCAGAAATTATGTTTAATCTCTTTTGCGTCTTTGAATCTATAACAGTATCCTGCCTTCACCTGTTTTTATTCATTGTTTTTTATGACATGGGTTTTTTGAAAAGCTCAAGCCACATTCTGCGTTTTTCTGATATTTCCTCAAAGTATCGTTGGATTTGTTCCAATATAGCCTATATTTCTTTTTTTTTTTTTTTCCCTTTATTTATTTTATTGCATTTTAGGTTTTGGGGTACATGTGAAGAACATGCAAAATTGTTGTATAGGAACACACATGGCAGTGTGATTTGCTGCCTTCCTCCCCATCACCTACATCTGGCATTTCTCCCCTTGCTATCTCTCCCCAGCTTCCCACCCCCCACCCTCCCTCCCCTATTTCCCCCCAACTGACCCCAGTGTGTAGTGCTCCCCTCCCTGTGTCCATGTGTTCTTATTGTTCAACACCCGCCTATGAGTGAGAACATGCGGTGTTTGATCTTCTGCTCTCCTGTCAGTTTGCTGAGAATGATGGTTTCCAGGTTCATCCATGTCCCTAGAAAGGACCCTAACTCATCGTTTTTGATGGCTGCATAATATTCCATGGTGTATATGTGCCACATTTTCCCTATCCAGTCTATCGTCGATGGGCATTTGGGTTGGTTCCAGGTCTTTGCTATTGTAAACAGTGCTGCAATGAACATTCGTGTGCACGTGTCCTTATAGTAGAACGATTTGTAATCCTTTGGATATATACCCAGCAATGGGATTGCTGGGTCAAATGGAATTTCTATTTCTATGTCCTTGAGGAATCTCCACACTGTCTTCCACAATGGTTGAACTAATTTACACTCCCACCAACAGTGTAAAAGTGTTCCTATTTCTCCACATCCTCTCCAGCATCTGTTGTCTCCAGATTTTTTAATGATCGCCATTCTAACTGGCGTGAGATGGTATCTCAATGTAGTTTTGATTTGCATTTCTCTGATGACCAGTGATGATGAGCATTTTTTCATATGTTTGTTGGCCTCATGTAGCCTATATTTCTTGTACACTGGACATTGGGTCTATGCTAGAGGTTTGATTGGATTCAAGTTAAATCATTTTGCCCAGAATCTTTCACAGATGATGTGTATTCACGTCGCATCCCATTAGGAAGCATTATCATGTCAGGTTGTCCACTACTGGTGATGTTAAGCTTAAACCCTTGGTTAAGCTGGTATCTGCCAGATCTCTGCATTGTAAGAGCACGTGTTTGTCTTTCTGACTAGTCAGTAATAAAGGATGTGATCCTCCCAGACTGTGTGAATGTGCTTTCCCAACATCTTCCATGCGATGGTTTTAGCACTCATCAGTGGTCTTTGCCTGATCAACTATTACATTTGAGGTTGTAAAATGGTAATTTTTCTACTTCTGCCATTCCTTCTACATTTATTAGCTGGCATTTTTCTGTAAAGAATAGCTCACTTTCTTTTATCCTTCTTTGTCTCTCTCATATCTTTCCTGCATGCCCCTGTAACTCTTTCATGTATCCACCCTGTCTGCAAGAGAAGCTTGGGAAGTATCTGGCCAAGGAGGGTGAGATTTCCATGACCGGACTGGACCTTCCATAGAACTGGGCACTTTGTTATTCAAAACAAAATGGGATTCAGTTTGCAAATGAGAAAGAGGGAATTGCTGTTGGCTAGACAGCTATCCATGCCTCCCATATTAAGAGGGACAGAAAAATATGAACATGTAAATACTTCGTTATGCAATGTGATACAATTGAGTTTTTTTTTTGAGACGGAGTTTCACTCTTGTTACTCAGGCTGGAGTGCAATGGCGCGATCTCGGCTCACTGCAACCTCCGCCTCCTGGGTTCAGGCAATTCTCCCGCCTCAGCCTCCTGAGTAGCTGGGATTACAGGCACGTACCACCATGCCCAGCTAATTTTTTGTATTTTTAGTAGAGACGGGGTTTCACCATGTTGACCAGGATGGTCTCGATCTCTTGACCTCGTGATCCACCCGCCTCGGCCTCCCAAAGTGCTGGGATTACAGGCTTGAGCCACCGCGCCCGGCCTTACAATTGAGTTTTTGTTTTTTCTTTTTTCTGTTGTTTTTGAAACGGAGTCTCACTCTGTCACTCAGGCTGGAGTGCAGTGGCGCGATCTTGGCTCACTGCAACCTCCGCCTCCTAGGTTCAAGCAATTTTCTTGCCTCAGCCTCCTGAGTAGCTGGGACTACAGGCACGTGCCACCATGCCCAGCTAATTTTTTGTTTTTTTAGTAGAGACAGCATTTCACCGTGTTAGCCAGGATGGTCTCAATCTCCTGACCTCGTGATCTGCCTGCCTCGGCCTCCCAAAGTGCTGGGATTACAGGCATGAGCCACCACAACCGGCTTCCAATTGAGTTATTTATAAAATATTATGGGACAAAGACCACACACATTCACAAAACCCCGTTAGGCATTACCACCACCACCGCCACCACAGGAATGCAGTTAAGCCTTAATGTTCATCAAAAGATGATTGGTGAAATAAACTATCATACATCCATACTCTACAGCCAAGAAAAATGTCCCTCTGTTTTTATTTTACAAGGAAAGATGGTCACAACATATTATTGGACCAAAATTATGTTATATGACAGTGTGTATAAAGCAGTACGATTATTTACTTATCCCCATTTTACAGATGTGGAAGTTGAGGTTGAGGACAGAACCTTGGAGGGCAACCACATACGTCAGGGAGGACAGAAGATTCTATAGGGGGAGGAATGAGAAGAAGCGGGGGAGGAGTGACAAGAAGGGAGGGAGGAGGGTCCATACATGTAGGCACACTGCCTGTGAAGCCAAGGAGACAAAGGACAGTTGGGAAGCAGCAGTGTGGTGGCCAGACTCCAAAACACAGGGCAGAGAGAGGTAAGCAACTTGGTAGAGAGCAGTCTCAACAAAGCTAAATTCAGAAGGGGACATCCAGTCTTCATGGATGGGTGGGATTCTTAGGAAGCAGAAGGACTAAAATTCTGTATCCAAAAGGCAAGATCAGATGGTAAGTAACAGGCTATTTAAACATAGGTAGAAGGCTGGGCACGGTGGCTCACACCTGTAATCCCAGCACTTTGGGAGGCTGAGGTGGGTAGATCGTTTGAGGTTCAGGAGTTCCAGACCAGCCTGGCCAACATGGTGAAACCCTGTCTCTATAAAAAAATATAAAAATTAACCGGGCAGTAGTAGCACACACCTATAACCCTAGCTACTCAGGATGCTGAGGCAGGAGAATTGCTTGAGCCTTGGAGGCAGAAGTTGTGGTGAGCCAAGAGCATGCTAGTACACTCCAGTCTGGGCAACAGAGTGAGATCCTATCTCAAAATAAATAAATACATAAATAAACATAAAGTAGAAGACCCAAGCCTGTGTGAAGGGGGAGAGATTGAACATGTAGGTGAGGGAGGAAAGGGTCAGGATAGAGAAGGGAGAAGACACAGGGACTGTTCTTTGGAGCTCTTTGCTTCTGCCTTTGTAACTGTTGTTCGTTATGCTTTATTTATTCATTTGTTCATTGTCCCAACAAATATTTTCAGCACCTTCTGGGCACCAGGTATCATGATTGCTCATGTATCTGTCTCTCCAACTAGTTGTAACAAGCCTTGATGGCAGGATCCATGGAATGGCAGAGGCTAAGGTTGGAATACAGGTCTTTTTACTTACTGGTTCTGTAACCATGGACTACTAAACTATTTTTGCCTTTTTAAGGCCACAGGTAGGTCTGGCTATGGGGCTAAGTTCTAGCCATGGAATAAAAATGGAAGGGTTATTTGCACATCGCTTACTGACCCTCAGTGGTTTTGTTGCACTTCAGTCATTTGATAGTATTTCCTACTTTGTAGGGTTGTATTGATCAAATAAAATAAGATCTGTATAGACTTTTTACAGAACTAGGCCCACAGGTAGGTCATTGTATCAGTTATAATTAAGTTTGTCCTAGAATGACAGAAAAACTCAAACAGTGGCTAAAATTTATTACAATTTCTTTTCTCTCATTTACAAGGAGTCCAGTAGATATGGACGTTCATAGTGTCAGGTTCTCAAGATCCTTTTATCGTATTGCTCCACTAGCCTCAGCCCATGATTTAGCTTCCTAGTACAAAATGGCTGCTCCAGTTCCAGCCATGAGGTCCACATTCCATCCAGTTCAAAGCAAGATGAGTCCAAAGAAATGCATTTCTTCTGGAAGTTGCAAATAACCCTTCTACTCCATGGCCAGAAGTTTTTTCAAGTTCAGAACTAGTTAAAAATAAATTCATATAGAATATCCAGGATTAAGTTTACAGCTTATGTGTTTCTGAAATAAATGATATTCTTATTTAATAAATAAATTTGTATTAGGGCAAGTTATCATAGTAAAAATTTTTTGTCAGGAGGAAATTTGTAACCATGTGTTAGCAGTTACGTTGCTAAATACATCCACTTTTTGTTGTTTAAGATTGTTGAGAAGCTCATCATGCTTTTTATTACAAAAGCGGTTCTCAAAGTTTTGTCTACAGATAAAAACGGTGCCTTAAAACACACCTGTGCTGTTAGACATCAGGGCAGGGTTGCTCTTAAGGCAGTAGGAGAGTGACTGAGCAGGGGTGTGAGGCAGCTTCTAAGGAGCTGGCAGTGTTCTCTTTCTGAATCCGAGTGCTGGTTACATGGGCATGCTCATATGAAAATTTCTTGAGCTGCATGCTTAGAATCTGTGCTCTCAGTTTATATCTTATACTTCAATACATGTTTTATAAATGGTCATGCAGATCCATCAGTTTACAGGACATACAGAACATTGAGGACGTGTTAATCACTCCAGCCTTTTTCCATATGTCTCTGTGTTTCGCCCCCAGGGAAATGAAGAATATTGATCAAAAAGCAGCAGATAAAAAAAAGGCAAACCACATGTTCATCCCACCTTCTGCCTTCAGTGAGGAATCACCTGACAAGAAAACTAAGGGAAGTTTCCAAAGAGAAATTGAGTTTAAGGTTTGTTTGAACAAAAACCATGGGAAATGTAGAAATACGAACAGTGTAAGAATAAGAATTGGTTTCTTTTGAGACAGAGTCTCACTCTGGCGTCAAGGCTGAGTGCCGTGGTGCCATCATAGCTCACTGCAGCCTCCACCTCCCAGGCTCAAGTGATCCTCCCACTTTAGCCTCCTGAATAGCTGGGACCACAGGTGTGTGTCACCACGCCCAGCTCATTTTTATCTTTTGTAGAGATGGGGGGGTCTCACTATGTTGCCCAGTCTATAAAATTCTTAAAACATAGAAAAGAGCATATAAAAGTTCACTTATGGCCAGGTGCAGTGGCTCATGCCTGTAATCCCAGCACTTTGGGAGGCCAAGGTGGGCGGATCATGAAGTCAGGAGTTCAAGACCAGCCTTGTCAACATAGTGAAACCCCGTCTCTACTAAAAATACAAAAATTAGCTGGATGTGGCAGCATGTGCCTGTAATCCCAGCTACTTAGGAGGCTGAAGCAGGAGAATCGCTTGAACCTGGGATGCAGAGGTTTCAGTGAGCGGAAATCGCACCACTGTACTCCAGCCTGGAGACAGAGCTAGACTCCATCTCAAAAAAAAAAAAGTTCACTTCCTTTTATGTATTACCCACACCACTCTGATTTTAGTTTTAGTATTATTACTGGTAGTAGTAAGGGCTATTAATGATTTTGTACTTCCTCTGTACCAAGCATTGGCCCATGTACTTTATGAACCGTATGAGACGGAGCTCCTTGGTTGCACATGCCAGGAAGCCAGCTCAAACTAGCTTAAGTGGAAGGAGAATGTAGGAGCTTAAATAATTGGGAAGGCCATGACAGGCCATCTGCAGGCATATTTGACCTAAAGACTCAGCATTTTCGGGCTCTTTCTCTGTCTGTCTCTTGACCCTCTTCCCTTCTCTGTGCTGACTTCTTTTTCAAGCTGCCTCTGCCTCCGGGCCATGGACAGCCCAAGTTGATCGCCTTACAGTTCTGACCTAAAAGGCCATGTTCGCTTTGCTGGGGTAGATGGAGCAGTTCCCAAAAAAAAGGTAGATGGGAAATTATTTGAGTCTTTGCATGTCCAAAATATCTTTGTTTTTTTTTTTTGTTTGTTTGTTTTTTTGTTGTTTTTTTATGAATTTCCCTCTCTCGCCCAGGCTGGAGTGCAGTAGCGCAATCTTGGCTCACTGCAACCTCCACCTCCTGGGTTCAAGTGATTCTCTTGCCTCAGCCTCACTGAGTAGCTGGGACTACAGGCACGCACCACCATGCCCAGCTAATTTTTTTTTTGTATTATTTTTATTTTTTTAGTAAAGAGGTTTCACCATGTTGGCCAGACTGGTCTTGAACTCTTGACCTCTGGTGATCTGCCAGCCTCAGCCTCCCAAAGTGCTGGGATTACAGGCATGAGCCACCATGCCCAGCCCTTTGTTCTTTTTAAAAAATTATTTAAGAGATGAGGTCTTGCTGTGTTACCCAGGCTGGTCTCAAACTCCTGAGCTCAAGCAATCCTCTCCCCTTGGCCTCCCAACGTGCTGTGATTGCAGACAAGAAAAAATGTCTCTGTTCTTGATTAATATTTGGCAAATATTTTGCTGGGAATAAAATTCTAGTTAAAAGTCAATTATTTCACAGAATTTTGAAAAATTTTTTCCTGCCTCCTACTTTTGCTGTTGAGAAGTCTCATGCTATTCTGATTCCTGTGGCTTTGTGTGTCACTGTTTTCCCCTGTCTGGGAAGTTTTAGGATGTTGTCTTTATTTCCACTATCCTGAAGTTTCACAGTGACATGCCTTGGTATGAGTCTTTTTCTTAGCATGCGTCACTAAGGTCAGGAGTGCTCTCAGTCCAGAGGATGGAGTCCTTCAATTCTGAGAATTTTGCTTGTATTATTTCTTTGAAAATTCCCTTCTCTTCATTTTCTTTGCTATTTCTAGAACTATTATAGTCAGTCAAACCTCCTGGATTGATCCTCTAATTTTTTTATGTTTCTTTATTCGCCGCTTGGCATCTGTATATATATCTATTTCTTTTCTTTTTCAAACTACAGAAATTTATTTTATCACAGTTCAGGAGGCTAAAGTCCAAAGTCAAGGTGTCAGCAGGGCCACGCTTCCTCTGCGGGGTTCAGGGTGGTCTTTCTTTACCTCTCCCTAACTTCTTGCAGTTGTCAGCAGTCCGTGGCTGTCCCTGGCTTGGAGATGCCTCACTCCAATCTCTGCCTCTGTCATTACCTGGCCTTCTTCATGTCTGTCTGCATCTATTCTTATAAAGACAGCAGTCATATTGGATAAAGGCCCACCCTAATATCTTTATTTTACTTGATTACATCTGCAAAGACTGTTTCTGAAAACGGTCTTATTCATGGGTATTGGGGTTTACAACCTTAATATGTCTTTTGGGGAATATAATTCAACGCATAATAGCTTTCTTTCTTTCTTTTTTGTTTATTTTGTTTTTTAAACAGAGTCTTGCTCTGTCACCCAGGCTGGAGTGTGGTGGCACAATCTTGATTCACTGCAACCTCCATCCCCTGGGTTCTCCTGCCTTAGCCTCCTGAGTAGGTGGGACTACAGGCACCTGTCACCATGCCCAGCTAATTTTTTTATGTTTAGTAGAGACAGGGTTTCACCATGTTGGCCAGGGTAGTCTCGAACTTCTGACCTCAAGTGATCCCCCTGCCTCAGCCTCCCAAAATGGGCCACCGCTCCTGGCCATAACAGCTTTCTTCTAAATTTTGTTTGTTTGTTTGTTTTTGAGATGGAATCTCACTTTGTTGCCCAGGCTGGAGTGCAGTGGTGAGATCTTGGCTCACTGCAACCTCTACCTCACAGGTTTAAGCAATTCTCCTGCCTCAGCCTCCCAAGTAGCTGGGATTACAGGTATACACAACTATGCCTTGCTAATTTGTGTATTTTTAGTATAGACGGGGTTTCACCATGTTGGCCAGGCTGGTCTCAAACTCCTGATCTCAAGTGATCCACCTGCCTCGGCCTCCCAAAGTGCTGGGATTACAGGCATAGGCCACCATGCCCGACCATATTTTGTAATTTTAATGAATGGTATGAGGTAAGGGTCCAACCTTATGCTTTTGTATGTGGTTACCCAGTTGTTCCAGCACCAATTTTGAACAGACTATTCTTTCTCCATTGAATGGACTTGACACCTTTGTTGAAAATTAATTGGCCATAGATGTATGGGTTTATTTCTAGACTCTCAATTCAATTTCATTGGTCTATATGTCACCCCTTATGCCAGTACCACAGTGTTTTGATTATGGAAGCTTTGTAATATGTTTTGAAATCAGGACGTGTGAGTTCTCCAACTTTATTCTTCTTTTTCAAGATTATTTTAGCTATATGTGGCTTCTTCCAATTTTATATGAATTTAAGGGCAGGCTTTTCCATTTCTACCAAAAAAAAACCACTGGAATGTTGATAGGGACAACACTAAATCTGTGTTTGGCTAGTAATGCCATTATAACAATATTAAGTTTTCCAATTCATTTTGTTAATTAGCAATATTCCAATTCAATTAAACACAAGCTATCTTTGCATTTATTTTGCCTTAAAATTTATTTTAACAATGTTTTTTAGTTTTATACTTTTTATAAAATATTTAATAACTTTTACAATGTTGTATAAGTTTTTCATCTCCTTGGATAAATTATTTATAGGTTTTTTTTCTTATGGATGCTATTCTAAATGGAATTGTTTTCTTTTTCTTTTTTTCTCTTTTTTTTTTTTTTGAGGTGGAGTTTCACTCTTGTTGCCCAGGCTGGAGAGCAATGGCGTGATCTTGGCTCACTGCAACCTCTGCCTCCCAGGTTCAAGTGATTCTCCTGCCTCAGCCTCCCAGGTAGCTGGGATTACAGGCATGCACCACCATGCCTGGCTAATTTTTGTATTTTTACTAGAGACAGAGTTTCTCCTTGTTGGTCAGGTGGGTCTCAAACTCCCAACCTCAGGTGATCTGCCTGCCTCGACCCCCCAAAGTGTTGGGATTACAGGCGTGAGCCACTGCGCCCGGCCAGGAATTGTTTTCTTAATTTCCTTTTTAGACTATATACAGATACAAAGTTGACTTTTTGTGTGTTGATCTCATACCCTACAACTTTGCTGACTTTATTGTCTGTAGAGTTTTTGTCTTATTTTGTTTTTTGAGGATTCATTGTTGTTTTCTTTTCTTTTCTTTCTTTGTTTTTTTTTAAGAGCTAAGGTCTTGCTTTGTCCCCCAGGCTAGAATGCAGTCATGCGATCGTAGCCCACTGCAGACTCAAACTCCTGGGCTCAAGCCATCCTCCTGCCTCAGCTTCCCGAGTAGCTACTTCGTGAGTACTACCAGGCGGACACCACCACTAATATTTTTTTTATTTTCTATAGAGATAGGTCTTGTTATGTTGCCCAGGCTGGTCTCAAGCTCCTAGCCTCAGGCAATCCTCCTGCCTCAGCCTCCAGAGTAGGGGAGACTACAGGGCATGTGCCACCATGCCCAGCTAATTTTTTAAATTTCTTTGTAAAGACATGGTCTTGCTATGTTGGCATTTTCTACATACAGAATCATGCTGTCTGTAAATAAGAGTTTTACTTCATTTCCAATTTGGATGCCTTTTATTTCTTGCCTAATTATCTGTCTAGAGCTTCTGATACAAAGTGGAATCCCATCAGTGAAAGGAGGCATCTTGTCTTGTCCCTGGTCCTAGGGGAAGGCTTTCAGTCTTTAACCTTTGAGTGTGATGTTAGCTGTGGGTTTACCATTAATGTCCATAATCGTGTTGGAGTAATTCCATTGTATTCCTATTTTTCTGAATGTTTATTATCATGAAATGCTGTTGGTTCTTGTCAAATGCTTTCTCTGTATCATTTGAGATAATTATGTGGGGTATTCCCTTCATTCCTATATTGTGCTCTGTACACTGATCGATTTGTGTATCACTGAGGGGAATCACCCTTAGATTCCTGGGATAAACCCCAGTTGGTCTTGGTATATAATCCTTTTAATATTCTGTTGGAGTCAGTTTGCTAGTTGTCGGGGGACCAGCCCAGAAACAACCTAGGAAGTAACAAGTGTCGGCGGAGACAAAGAATATTAAGAGACAAGAGTGAAAGTACATAAAGGTGGACTCCCAGGGAGCCGACGTGAGTAGGAGGATGCGAAGGCCCCAGCACTGAAGATCCACACTGTTTATTGAGTGCTTAAACAAAGAAGCATGTGGTCAGGGATGTGGGGCGTGAAAAGGAAGGGAAGCATCAGGCAGATGATCTATAGCTGTGGAGGTCTGGCATTTCCTTTGAAGGTATAGAGCATGCTCTACTTTAGATACAGTCAGTAAACAGATAGGGAAAAGGCTGCAGCTAGAGGCAGCAAGCCTGGCCACATTCTGTTTGCTTCAGAGAGGTCTTCCTTGCCTTCAGCACAGAGCATGGTCTTCCATTAACTCCCATCCTGTGCCTAATAAGCAAGTCATGCATCAACCTTTTTCTCAACAGCTAGTATTTGTTGAAGATTTCTGCATTTGTATTCATAAGAAAGAGTGTTCTATAATTTTCTTTTCTTGTCATTTCTTTGTCTTGTTCTGGTATCAGCATAATGCTGGCCCCATAAAATGAGCTATAAAATACCAATCCTCTTCTGTTTTTTGGAAGAGCTTGAGAAGAATTGGTGTTAATTCTTCCTTGACGGTTTGGAAGCCATGTAGTCTTTGACTTTTTTTGTTCAAAGGGAGATTTTTGATTATTGATTCATTTTACTTGTTATAAGTCTATTGAGAATTTTAATTTTTTTATTGAGTTAGTTTTGGTAATTTGTATATTTCTAGGAAGTTTTCCATTTCATGTAGGCTATGTAATTTGTTGGCATTTGTATTCTCTTATAAGCTTTATTTCTATAAGGCTGGTAATCATGTTTCCACTTTCATCTATGTGTGTCCTTTTCTTGGTAGTCATTCAAACTCAAAATTTCTTAATTTTATTGGTAACTAACATTTTGTTTCTTCTTTTCATTTTTATTTTTAAAAATAGAGACAGGGTTTCTCCATGTTGGTCAGGCTGGTCTCAAACTCCTGACCTCAGGTGATCCACCTGCCTTGGCCTTCCAAAGTGCTGAGATTATAGGCGTGAGCCACGCTGCACCCTGCCACATTTTGTTTCTTTGAACTGACTTTCTATCTTTTCTATTCTCTATTTCATGTCCTCTGCTCTAATCTTTATTATCTTCTTCTTTCTACCAGCTTTGGATTTAGTTTGTGCGTCTTTTGCTAGGCTGACAAGTCATAAAGTGAAGTTATTGATTTGAGATGTTTCTTCTTTTTAAAACATAGGCATTTCTAACTATAAATTTCCCTCTGAGCACTGCTTTTGCTGCACTCCCTAAGTTTTATTGTGTTATGTCTTTGTTTTTATTTCAATTTATTTTTGAGATGGAGTCTTGCTCTGTCACCAGGCTGGAGTGCAATGGCCCAGTCTTGGCTCACTGAAGCCTCCACCTCCCGGGTTCAAGCCACTCTTCTGCCTCAGCCTCCCGAGTAGTTGGGACTACAGGCACACACCACCACGCCCAGCTAATTTCTTTTCTAGTTTAGTAGAGATGGGGTTTCACCATGTTGCCCAGGCTGGTCTCCAACTTCTGAGCTCAGGCAATCCACCCTCCTCAGCCTCCCAAAGTGCTAGGATTACAGACGTGAGCCACCGTGCCTGGCTATTTCAAAATATTTTTAAATATATCTTATTATTTCTCCTTCAAGTTGTAGCATGTTCTTTGCAAATAAGGACAGTGAACCTAAATAGAAGAAGTATAATGCTTTCATGAAATATTAAAGGAAGTTGTTTAGGCTTGTGAGACTAGTCTCCATCTCATAGCCCAGCAAATAATATTCTGAAGATTCACATCTGGAAGTGTGAGGCAGATGGGGAACACAGAGTTAGAAAACACAGCCCAGGCTTTCAGCTTCACCAGAGGGATGTCACCTCCAATGGGGTCGTACCTGCCTGCTGCCTAGAGGTTTTCAGGGCCCAGTTCAGATCCCACACAGCAGTGTTCCTATCAGTAGTGGTGGAAGGTAAAGGCTGGAGGCACTGTCGATGTGGAAGCTGTGGATGCCAGCTATCCTGCCCGACCTCTTTCTCTGGAGGTAGGAGCACGTCCTCAATATTCCGTGTATACAGGGGTCACCACTCACGCCACTGCTCACATGTAGAGTCTTTGAAGAAATTAAATTTGTTAATTGATTTTTTGTTTGTTTGTTTCCCCCACAGGAGGGGAAAGGAGGAGAGGGAAAGAGAAGAGAAACAGAAGTTGAACATTTCTCTCTACTCGCTTCCAAGCCCCAAGGAACGCCACAACCTGGAACTAGGTTCCAGAACTACAGAATCCAGTTCCTAGAACCACAGAATCCATGATCTTTCTGCTACCAAATGGAGCAGAACAACAAGAAAAAAAGAAAATTGTGGCCAAAGATTCAGAAATAGGAATCACAATTTCACAATAAGAGAAAGATTTCGTTCTAGTTTTTCATAGGCTGAGTGAAAAGGAGGAGCAGAGAGCTGGTGCTTGGGTCACCACATTTATTCACACATTTACTCTTTCATTCAGTATTTTTTTTTTTTTTTTTTTGAGACGGGGTTTCACTCTTGTTACCCAGGCTGGAGTGCAATGGCACCATCTCGGCTCACCGCAACCTCCGCCTCCTGGGTTCAGGCAATTCTCCTGCCTCAACCTCCTGAGTAGCTGGGATTACAGGCACGTGCCACCATGCCCAGCTAATTTTTTGTATTTTTAGTAGAGACGGGGTTTCACCATGTTGACCAGGATGGTCTCGATCTCTTGACCTCGTGATCCACCCACCTTGGCCTCCCAAAGTGCTGGGATTACAGGCTTGAGCCACCGCGCCCGGCTCACTCAGTATTTTATTAAGTGCATATTTGTGAGTATGTTACAAATATGACCTCATATAAAAGTTAAACTTTCATACCAGCCATATAAAGTAGGGATGATCCACTACATTTTACATAGCAGCCAGCCCAGGTTTAGAAAGGTTTCCAAAGTTCTCTGCTGTAGACACTGGGTAATTAACAGTAGATAAGACACAGGCCCTGTTCTTAAGGGAGTCATCATAGAGGGAAGACAGATGTATCAACAAATTAAATGCTCTAAGTATTGGATAGAGGAAAACAAAGAAGGCAGAGGCCTGAGCCACACAGAAACACTTTGCAGATGTCATGTCCCTGGACTGAGTTTAGAAAAGACAAGATATTTACCAGAGAGGCAGAGATCACTAAGATAAAATTTTACTTTTAACTAACAAAATTAAATTAATCTTTTTAGAGGCAGAATCTCACTATATTGTCCAGGCGGGAATGCAGTGGCACAATCATATCTCACTGCAACCTCAAATTCCTGGGCTGAAGCGATCCTCCCACCTCAACTTCCCAAGTAGCTAGGAATACAGCCATGCCACCATGTCTGGCTAATTTTTTAAGAAAATTTTTGTAGAGATAGGATCTCACTGTGTTGCCCAGGCTGGTCTCGAACTTCTGGCTTCAAGTGATCCTCCTGGCTTGTCCTTCCAAAGCACTGGGATTATAATTGTGAGCCACTGCACCTGGCCTGGAATATAAAATACTGTGTAACATAGTAATAGTAATATAAGCGATGTCATTTATTGAGTACCTACTATGTGCTAAGTGTTCCGCTAAGCCTGGTTTAGACATTATCTCAGTTAACCTTCCTGATGTCCCCCAAGATGGATATTGTTACCTCCATTTTCTCCTAGAAAGAAACTGGGGCTTGGTGAGGATGATTAGGCATTTGCTAGACGTCTATTCTGTACCATCCCTGTACTAGGCCCTATGGATACAGAGAGAAATAAACACACAGTCCCTCACCTTACTGGACTCATAGTCTGAAAGAGAGAGAAGGTTGTGTAAATCAATAAATGCATTGATAGAGATCTGCATGGAATCTGAGAAAAACCAAGGCAGGTGAAGCCAGTATGCCAGCAGCCCTTTGGGTCAGAAGATCTTTCACTGAAGGGCACAGGCATGGGGCTGGTTTGCCAAAGGAGCGGCAGCTGGGCTGAGGGGCTTAGGCTTTATCATTTGAGCTTCAAGGCAAAAGGAAGTGACCTGGTCTGTGCTAGAACAGTCCACCTGTCACAGCCAAGAGGAAAGATGGTGCAGATGGTCTGGGCACAGTGGCTCACACCTATAATCCCAGCATTGTGGGAGGCCGAGGCAGGTGGATCAGAAAGTCAGGGGTTTGAGACCAATCTGACCAACATGGTGAAACCCCATCTCTACTAAAAATACAAAAAAATTAGTCGGGTGTGGTGGCGTGTGCTTGTAATCCCAGCTACTTGGGAGGCTGAGGCAGGAGAATCACTTGAACCTGGGAGTTGGAGGTTGCAGTGAGCTGAGATCGAGCCACTGCACTCTACCCTGGGTGACAGAGTGAGACTTTGTCTCAAATAAATAAATTAGTTAATTGATTAAAATAAAAACAAGAAATGGTGCAGATGGCTGTTTGCCCAAACCAAGCAGCAGATAAGCAGATTTTGGGACATATGGGTCATCCCTCAGTCTTATGTCTTTACTTGCATCCTGAGTGGAACCCTAGGTGACCCCCTTGGAGACTGTTAACTTTGTAAAAGGGGATGAAGAGGTAAGAGGGAAAGAGCTCCGGCTTTGGCATGAGAAAATGTGGGCCTTTGAATCACTGCCCTGCTTCACCATGGATGTATGACTCAGCACAGTAGCTGTGCAGTTTGACCTTTCTGAACTTGCTTTCTCAACTGCAGAAAGGGAATGCCTACCTAGAAGGGTTGTTGTGAGGATTAGATGAGATAATTTATGCAAAGTTCTTGGCACAGTACTTCTCACTTTGTAATTGCCACAAGCTCTTATTGTTATCATTGTTAGAAAGTGTACTCTTCTTCGGCTGGCGCAGTGGCTCACGCCTGTAATCCCAGCACTTTGGGAGGCCAAGGCGAGTGGATCACCTGAGGTCATGAGTTCGAGTCCAGCCTGGCCAAAATGGGGAAACCCTGTCTCTACTAAAAATACAAAAAATTTAGTCAGGCGTGGCAGCCAGTGCCTGTAATCCCAACTACTCAGGAAGCTGAGGCAGGAAAATCACTTCAACCTGTGAGGTGGAGGTTGTAGTGAGCCGAGATCACACCATTGCACTCCAGCCTAGGCAACAAGAGTGAAACTCTGTTTCAAAAAACAAAAAAGTATGCTCTTCTGAAACCAGAACACATTGAGCACCTGCACACATTGAGCACCTGCCAGGTACAAGGCACCGTATGGGGCAGATAAGCAGAGCATTCTCTCACCTTCCCTTTACTACCCCAGCCACTGTCAACTCTTCATCTGCAGTTCCTCTAGGAATAACACTTTCCTATTTCTGGACTTTTGTCTGTTGCTGCTTCCGGACCTGAAAATGCCTTCTCCTTGCTCCTCTTTGTTAACTGCCAACATTACTAATTCCTGCTCTTCCTCCAGGACCCCGCTTAGACGTCCCCTCCTCTTGGGAGCCTTCCCTAATCTGCCAGGAGCCAGTTAGGGACAAGTGCTCCACTACATTCTGCTCCAACAGCATTTGGTGCCACCCTGTTATGGCAGCAGTTACCATAGCAGGTTGTAATTGCCTGTTTACCTATCCATCTCTACCATTAGCCCCCATGCAGCAAGAAGGGCTCCTTGTTTTCTAAGCCCAGGACAAACTGCATTTCTGTCTCTCAGGACCATTTGTTGCACAGTCCAAAATCATCCCTGCATGGACCTTTCCAGAAATTACTGAGGACTCAGAATGGTAGGCCTCTCAGGATGTTAAAGATGAAAAATCCTGTCTCTGCTCTTTGTAAATATTAGAAAGGAAAATTATGGCGATGAATTATTTGCCCTTTATAAGGGAAAGGGGGTAGAGCATCAAAGAGAACTAACATTATTATTTTGTTAGGCCTTTCATTTTTTTTGAGACGGAGTTTCACTCATGTTACCCAGGCTGGAGTGCAATGGCGCGATCTCGGCTCACCGCAACCTCCACCTCCTGGGTTCAGGCAATTCTCCTGCCTCAGCCTCCTGAGTAGCTGGGATTACAGGCATGCACCACCATGCCCAGCTAATTTTTTGTATTTTTAGTAGAGACGGGGTTTCACCATGTTGACCAGGATGGTCTCGATCTCTTGACCTCGTGATCCACCCGCCTCGGCCTCCCAAAGTGCTGGGATTACAGGATTGAGCCACCGCGCCCGGCCTGAGAACTAACATTTAAAAAGTATTTGCTTTAATGTGGGATAAAGCAAATGAGTAATTGTGTGATATTCTAATTCCGTCATTCCTACTGTTGCTGAAAACCCATATTCTCATCATGGAAGAAGAAAAATTCAAATGTTAAACTACAAAAGATGAAGTTAAAATGCTATAGTCCTGATTTTGAATTGCTTATGACTTGATGATGAATTATCTGTTTTAGAACACACAGTTGCCTAAAGAACAGGAGGGATAGCTAGAGAGGCTAGGAGGGAAATTGGAAGGGGTTACAAAGAGACCCCTTTGTAAGAAAAAAGGGGTGATGAAACTTTTTGGGAGTGACGGATATGTCTACTATCTTGATTGTGGTGAAGGGCTCATGGGTGTATACGTACCTAAACACATTTTAAATATGTGCAGTTTCTCATATGTCAATTATACCTCAATAAAGCTTTGTTAAAAAATGAACAGGCCAGGCATGGTGGCTCACACCTGTAATCCCAGCACTTTGGGAGGCCAAGGCAAGAGGATTGCTTGAGGCCAGGGGTTTGAGACCAAACAGGGTAAAATAGTGAGACCCTGCCTCTTTGTATAAAATCTGTCTTTCCAGCCAGGTGCTGTGGCTCATGCCTGTAATTTCAGCACTTTGGGTGGTCGAGGCAGGTGGATGATGAGGTAAGGGATAGAGACCATCCTGGCTGACATGGTGAAATGCTATCTCTACTAAAAATACAAAAAGTAGCTGGGCATGGTGGTGTGTGCCTGTAACCCAGCTACTTGGGAAGCTTAGGAGAATCATTCCAACTAGGGAGTCGGAGGTTGCAGTAAATGGAGATCATGCCACTACACACTCCAGCCTGGCAACAGAGTGAGACTCCATCTCAAAAAAAAAAAAAAAAAAGTAAAAGAAAAGAGAAGAAACATATACAAAAACATATACAACTTTTGCCTTTTATTTTTGTTAATCGATACTTTGAATAAAGATGGGAACTTTGGTTTTTTATTTTTTGGTTTGTAATCCTACAGATTTTTTTTTTCTTTCTACTTTTCTGTTTTGTTTTTTTTTCTGTAAATCTACGGTAAACCTCTTTAGATTAACGCAAATCCTCATACTGCAGAATTAGTATCTTTCAGAATATTCCCTCTGCTGAGGCAAGAAACACAATATTTGAAATGTCTATATAAACTAGAAATACAAGGGGAAAAAAAGCATAACAAGACTGATGGAACTAGAATACTGAG